GCTATCTATGAGTACTATTTAAATAAAGAATTCGAACAATTAGTGTGAAGAAACTTTTCCCTCTAGTTTTTATCGAAAATTATAAAATTTCTGTAAAATTGCGATTCAAAACGACACTTTTGATGAAGAATGTATAATTAAAGATTTAAATTAGGTGTGGCACAAAAAATATTGAACACTCCTTTCCAATATGCTCAGACAGCAAAGGAGATATCGTTTTTTTATTTCTTTCAAGAGCAGCATATTTCTTTGCGTCCAGTGAACGAATGTTCCAAAATCAAAGCTTTAGATTTTCCGTTTGAAGTTCCGTAAGAGGATCGATTATTAAATTCTATAGATAGTAATAAATGCATACAAGATATTTATTAGCTTAGTTAATGCGAATATTGATTTTCTGTTACTTACGTACTTTGTAATTGAATGAATTTATAATTATTTGAAATTTATTATTACAAGTGTATGGCTTGTGATTGTAAATCATAATAGAGAAGATAATACTGCTTCTCTATATTTCGTGTTATATAATAATGTAATAATATATTACAGAAAGTACGACTCAGAGCAGCCAGCAGTCTTATTTATAAACAAATGAGTTTTTTTTAATAGTTTGGAATTATTGAGCTTTTAAAATATTTGAATATGCTTATAAAAATCGACGCATTTCTCTCCGATCCAAAAGAATATTTCAACGACTGTTGTAACTGAATACATAAAATATAAATATGCTACCAATTTTAATAACATTCAAAGAGATAATAAAAATCTCGAATTTTATTAGTGTGAATGAACAAAGAAAAGAAACTAAAAATAAACTTTAGTTAACATAAGTTTTTCTCATGAATAATTAAATAGCTGATTTCTGCATTGCGTTTCGGCCGATAAATCATACTTTAAAATCCATAATTATATCACCTACAATACAAATCATCTACGTGTGGGTTTGAAAACATTAATTAAACGCAACAATTCCAAATACGCTGGACGCAGGTTACGCAAATCTCGCTCAGGAGCATGTTTTACGACATTACAATTTTCGGCGGTTTACTTTCGTCGAAGACACGAAATTACATCTGCCGAATTCAATACGGTCGCTTGTTTATTGAGGAACAAGTTTATTGCAGGAAAAGATTTCAATTGCAAATACACCACATGGGGTTCGGGACTAATTACTGGCAATAAGGGTGCTCGTCTCCGTGGCGCATGCTACAGGAATACATGTTTTATTACTCCTGGCCGAAATAAGGGAAATTCATCGCACTCGGAGAGAGCTCCAAATGGTCGCATACCTTTCTATATACGCAACCCCGATGCACATTTTGGCATAACTCGCACTAATCAGGACTGTTTTTAAAGTTAAGATTGTGGAAAACTATACCAAGTGAGCTAGATAAATAGTACAATAATTTTCCCTAATGAACTACATATGCAATTGAATTGAAAAGTATATAAACTTTTATGCAAGTTTGAATTAAGGAGTAAATTAAACCGCCAAACAACTCGGATGAAATATAGGTTGTAATTATGAGTATTCAACACAAGAGTAAATTTCGAAAGTTCAAATATTATTTGGAATTTAATATTTCAAATTAAATATCTTTATTCTTTTTCACAAATATTACTGTTAATCTAGTCTTTTATTCATTAAGTGTGTTTTTATTTATTTATTCATTTATTTATTTTATTATGTTTACCAAATAATTTGTGTGATCCACTAAAGAAGAGTCAAACTAGTTTATTAAAAATGATTTAAAACATAATATAGTTTTATTTTAGTAACTGGATGAAAGCCTGTTCCAAAACTTTTGCTTTTAATTACTGAAAACTTATGTACGCGTTACAGAAAAATTAACGAGTTTTTAAATTAAATAATATAAATATGCAAAGTGTATGAAATTTTTTCAGAGCGGTTAATTATAGTTTAATTCATCCATAATGATGAATTTATAATATGCTGCGAAAATGCAAATAACGTTGGAATTAAATATGCAATTACACGCAGAAAATTTGTTAAAAATATCATTTCGTCTAGAAATTAAACATTCGGATCAATTTAGAGACAAATTCTGTGACAATAGGATTCTGTTCAAAAACACTTTGTGTCAGGCACCCTAAGAATGATAATAAAAAAGTTCTTCTCGGTTAAACATTTATTACATTGTCTAACATTTTGAATAGTTACATTTTCCTATACATCTAAATATCATTGGAACTCTACACTTGCTATTGAATATTAATGCAGATGGTTTTCGTTGTAACTCATTTTATTTAAGATATAAATATATTCTTTTCACAAAGAGACTGGAAGTTATTATGTATACGATTCTCTAAGATATAATTATAAATGTAACAACCTTATTTATGTCCTAAGTGAATTGTCACATCGTTTTTCATATTTTTGTCAACGCTTTACAAATATGTTTGCATTTGTCTTTTTTTGTTATCCCGGTATAAAACATTTCGGGACCAAGGACGTGTTAAACACTAATCAAGTCCGACAGCTATATAAAGCCATTAATAATACCTGCAAGAGCAAGTTGTATTCAAACTGTTTAAAATGATTTTATGCATATGTCATAGAGAATTTCTGTATTTAAATAAAGTTGACAATAGAAGTGAAAACAATAAACTTTTTTTTTATAAAATATGGTTTAATTAGAATAAAAGATTTTTCTTATCATATATACAATGTATTATTCTGAAACTAATCCCGAATAAAATTAGCGGTTATATTAGAGTTATTTTTTGGTATAGGAGAGACTAGGTACGGTTGTGCCAGGTTACGGTGGTGACAATCGTCATAACAGCTAAACTATACTGATTATGAGATAGGGTCCAACAGAACAGAGATGAAGTATCTTTGTTCGAACAAGTTTCCATTATTACATTGAGTCAGCGGCCTCAAGTCAAATAAGTTTTTTTGTTTTACCAGGAATTAGTTTTGTTTTAAAAAACATGTATGTGCTGTGACATTTATTTTTTGTCCTTTTCGGGTAAAATTTAAACAGATAAAGAAAAATGTAACGTAACTAAGACAAAATACAAGAGACGAAAATATTTCACGAAGATTTTTTGTTTAAATTATTATGTTTTGTCATATATTGTTATATTGATAAGCCTTGTATAAATGATTATGTTGTGTTGTGGCGAAACATATTTCTGACAATAAACGTCGTTATGAATAATTTTTGATTTTTTAACCTATTTTTATATCTGTCACAACCGTCTCTCGGGTATGGACGGTTTCTTGTATGATTTGATTTTATGATTAATTTATCGTATTTAAGGACAGTATTTCTGTATTTCCTCCTAGACATATGTTCAAATTACCATTTAATTTACTTTTCTCCCAGCTAATTGGTAAAAATTAACAAAATTATTGTTGATCAAAAAAAAAGTGGCACAACCGTACCCGGTCTCTCTCCCCTACTTGGTCTTATAACGTATGAGCTTCTTGTTTATGTACAAAGTTGTTTGGCTGCTACAAAATGGTTAGGAATATTGGTCTAATAAGTAAGTACATTAGGTACAAATATTTAGATAACGAACTTAATAATAAATATAATGCTGGTCTGATTTCTAATTTTAATTTGCTATAGCAGATAAAAACTGAAAACCATTAGGTTATCTCATGCGCTGAGGTATAAACCGTAAATATCTCTTATGCACGGAGCAATTATTTACTTGGCCTGTGATAGACAATGAATTTATGTTGAGTACCTATGCGTAAACTGAAAACTGAAATACATGTTATCAATTTTTAATAATGGCTCGCAAAAGGCAATTGAATTTGATGAATCTGTATGTTATGAAGTGTTTTTGATAGTAGTTAAATATCGTGTAGAGTCCGGGGTGGCGCTCCGGTATTGAGTGGTATTGAACAAAGCGAGATGTGTAGGGATCGTCTGATGCACGATCATAGCGAGTGCGAACGCGAGTGCTCCGTTGTTGCGGACTAGTCAATAGTCAATATTGAATAGTGAATAGTGAATAGTGATGAATAGTGCGATTGCGATGATAGTGTAATGATTCGATAGTGTTCCCGCTTCCCGGGTATCGGCCGTGCACTGGAATATTTGTAGAGAGGCGCGACCGAGGATGCTCTTATCATTGGATGCGTGCACAGGGCGCGCGCGGCGGCCTTGTGCTGGCCGTTGGCCACTCCTCGTGCGCAGCTCAGCGCGTTCAGCTATCTCGAAATGCAAATATCCAAGAGTCATTAAACCAGCCGACGAGTGCGCCATTTTGAAAATGCAAATGTATTATTGTAATGTTTTCCTATAAATATTTCATTGGGCGCTCTGCCGAACTCGCATCTCCCGTTGAAACAATACGGATTGTTTTAATTCTCATATACTGAACGCGCTGTTTGTACAAATAATTATATATATATATATATATATATATATATATATATATATACATAATATAATATAATATAGCAAAGATGGCTGCCGTGATACGCATTTTGTTTGCACAAAAGCGCCTTCTATATAAGGGCACGTAAAAACGCACTGCATTCATTAGCATTCGAAATTAGCAAGATTTATATACAGAACTGGCAAAGAAGTATCGCTCACAATGGCTTTTAGGGTTGCTTATTTCTATTTAAGTAACATAAGAAAACAATTTAATATCTTACAAAGAAATCAATGTGAAACGAAAAATAGTTTCGTTTAATTAAACATTTAGTACATCTAACTTGAGTCTCATTGTATTTGCTTTTTACACACACATACTCGAGTCACAAACATATAAAATCATATTTGTAATGTTAGCTATATAAATTATTTTTCATTTTCTTCTTCAATATTACTTTTATTCGTGACAGATTCTTCGATTAAAAATAATCTAATTATTTTTTCTATAAATTTTTGCATTTGATATGTTTTTAGTCACACTTGTACATTTCTATATAAATTTCATTAAAAAAACAATATATCTACTAAAAATAAATATATTTAATAAATGTATATAATAAAAGATTTATCTTTTGTGAACAGGCACGCCTATAAATCGACTTCCTATAATGGCAAAATCAGTTCTGGATCTGTTCGAGTTGTACAACTTGGTCATAGCACGAGGAGGACTAGTAGATGTTATCAACAAGAAACTCTGGCAAGAAATCATTAAAGGACTTCACTTACCCAGCAGCATTACATCGGCCGCATTTACATTACGCACACAGTAAGTTTTCTTATAATATTCTTAAAGGACATAGTATCCTATTGATTATCTTATCTTAATAATTCATCATTAATTGTAAGGATTGTATGGAACAATATGCAAACGCTTTTGACTTAAAATATCAAAGTATAAGTTTATTATCTCTCTTTTCCCACGTGGTAATTAAAGTTTTTTCTATTTTTTTTAAATAATTTTAAATAAAATTTTAAAGAACCTCTACTGGAACGAAGGGTTGGTACGGATGGGGCCAATGCTCTAGTAAAATAGGCTCTAACCGTAACATAGCGTTGTTATCTTATTTTATAAATAAAACTTGATCATAAATATAATGCGATATCGGGCATCGGTTTTACCAATATTTAATAGCAAATTTCTAGTAAATTTAAGAACTAAGCAAGCAAAATCCTATTTTTTTATCGAAAATCCTATTTTTTACTAATGGAAAAACATGAAAATTGCAAACTCGCGAGTCTATTGAATTTTTGATCGATCGTCCAAATGATAGACAGTTTTTGCATATCATCAGACATACGTTGGACGCTTTGGCGAGAAAGCGTAAAACTAATGAACAAAAATCGAATGCATATGTAAATTAAAAATAAAACAAATGGCAAGAATTTATACAGAAAGACAATTATGATTGGCTTTACGAAAGAGTAAATAGCGGCTGGGTATGTGTATGTGTGTATTCAAATATCGTTTCGTAAGTTGTCAGTGGCATGTGCAGCCTGTCATTAGCGCACCGACATATTTTAAGGATCGCTTTTTTGCTGAACGCTCGCTGCCGAACACACGTTCGAGATATAAATTTAATATTATATGTATGAATATACACATACATACACACGCACACGCACACGCACACACTATATATATAAATATAAATATCTATGTGTGTATAATTTGTCAATATAGAATATAATTCTCTACATGCATGTTTCTGCATTTTACAAGAGATATTGAAAAATCATATCAATTCACACAATTTATGCATCAACTAATTATTATAATTTCATACCCGAAGAACAGAACCAGAACAAGAAACGATCAGAAACCTGACCTATTTCTCCAAACCAGTTAGTTATTTGTGAAAAGCAAATTTATGTTATGTACAATATGGAAACATTGTTTATCAATGAAATTAATTAATATTTTTCAAATTTTATTCAATCACGCCATGACGCGCAGCTATTGGAAATTTAATTTAGAAAAGGGTGCTGTCTTGTGATCGAGTAACACCCAGTACGGTCGTAAAATTATGAAAAAAATTCTAGATGGGTAATAAAAATTTATGTATGAGAATATTTTGATTTTATGCATTTGTATTTGGGGACTGGTTCTATGCAAATAACATGCCTCATGAAATAGTTAAATGTTTAATGTAGATACTTCTTCAATATTGTTATTGATACTAATGACTGACTGATTAAAGAATTAATTTACAATTGCCTTTAGAGCTTTAACATCGATTTGAAAGCGGTACTCGAAAAAAAATGAAAAAAATAAAACATCTATATAGTGCTCAGTTATATTTAACTTTTAAGGTATTCCTTTGCAATTATTATGCCAGAATAAATATTCCAGACATAGCTTTTCTGATAAGACATGGATCGCAAGTTATATCTCACTACGTAGAATAATAGGGCGCTCGAGGATTTACATAAATCATTGACGTTTCGATATTCTACTAAAAAAGAACTATTATTACGAGCGCATTACTTGCAAGAAGTGTGGTTTTTGGTGCAACTCAAATTGGGAGATTTCGAAGAAACACTGCGATGTTTTGTGGAAAATCAATGGATTGTGGGAATATCAAGCCAGAATAGATTTGCAATAAAGATATCATTTGCTTGGTGTTGCTTCAATAAATATTTTGTTATTCCTCATTCTCGCTTCAAAAAAATCGAAAGAGTAATTAATCAACAAATTTAGGTACTCATTTATAGCTTTAAATTTACTTCAATCAAAGTCCGTACAATATTATTTAGTCTCAAAACCAAAAAAGTCAACACCATTTAAAGTTGGCCACAAAATTTTACAAAACAGTGTTTTAATGCTGATAAATTGTTTCCTTCTGGCGTGGTAATTATGAGTATCGATTCATGTTATCCAGGAGTTTGGACTAGCGATGGATGGATGGACTATCTTTACTAGTTATATATATGTTTTATCTCTGATTTAGATGAAGTTTCTGTATCAGAGAAGGTCCATTCGAACCTTGAAAACTGATGATTTTTTTGCTTCGGAGCGACATACGAGTATTGTACATATTGCATCGTAAAAATGGTGAATGTGTCAGTAAATCCTGTTGCAGACAATGGAGCGGCTTCAAGAGGTTGAAACTACTTATGATGCATAATGATAGGTCGGTCGGCACGATTAGAGCACAAACCTTGTTATAAAACATTATTCCACATTTTACTGCGATGAACGTTATTTTAATTGCTTCTAAGTCCTGGCTTTAAGTAATAACTCATATAATCGTTTTGCATACTTTGTATTTTTATATTAACGAAGAACTTTCAAAGATATTATACGTGGAAAATGAAATCATCATTGTCGATTACTTTTTTCATCAATTCATAATTTAATAATACAATTTCATAAACATTATATTTGAGGATAATATTACAAAAAAATATATCAAAAACTACTGTTAATATTAAAAGTAAGTTCAATAGGATGTTTGTACGTGACATTTGATCACTAACGTTGACTTTCTAGCTAGTTCAGTAGTTTTAGATATGTATTTATGCTATTCGATTGTATGTTTACAACCTGATTCAATAAAAAATGAGATGTAAAAATAACTTTAAATAAACGTATTCGATAAAGTTAATCATGTAACTAACACTTTTTTTTACAGATACATGAAATACTTATATCCATATGAATGTGATAAGAAAAATCTGAGTACACCCAGTGAATTACAAGCAGCAATTGATGGAAACAGGCGCGAAGGACGACGATCGTCGTATGGACAATATGAAAATCAAATGCAAAATCAATTATCACTCGTAAGTCTTTATTTATATAATACACTCTTAGTCTTAATATTAGCGCAACGAAGCGAATTGAAACTGTCAGTTATGATATCTTATTGAAACATGATGGAACAGTTTTAGATGAGTATTAAAAAATCGATCTTCAGACGTTAAATTTCTTTGTATTTTAGTTATTAATTTTTGGTGATGTCATGAGTCAATTTACATGTAATTGAATCAAATTACTTATATAATGAGATCACAGCAAATTTAAAAAAATACACTAATTATTACTTAAATTCTATTTAAAGTATTATAGATCTATTGAATATTAACAAAGTGTTTTACTTTAATTTCTCGCTAGTTCAACACATTCTTCTCAGAAAGTTGTCAGAAAAAACGATAGGCAAGATAAGTCATATTATTAGCTCAAAAAGATGGACAAATTGTTAAAAATATTAGCGTTCTATGTAATATAGTAAATATAGTTGTTTGGTGGTTGTTCAATGCGTAACATGACAGCATTTATTGCATTTGAGAGGATAGACTATTATATTCGTAATATGTATAATAATCAAATTATATTATTCAGCCCGCAGTTCAACGTAGCCCAGTGCCTTCGATGCACTTGTCACAGCAAATGTCGCCGTTGTCGCTGGTGACGCACCACGCGCATCATGTGCACCAGGCGCATCAGGCCGCGCAGCAAGCGGCCGCACAGCAGCAACGAGTTGCTGGATTTTCACTAATGGGTCATGGACCCGTCGCCGGTTTAGCGCCGCACGAAATCGAGCAGCGCATGATGGAATACATGAAACTGTTCCAGCATAAAGAAACTAGGCGTCTAGGTCAGTATTAAAAGTAACACATTAATAAATGCCACATTATTTTTTTGGATTTATGAATGATTTACATCAACGAAAATATATTTCTAGGTTCCCAATCGCCCCCAGAAACAGTGTCTCCCCGTGATGCGGCTTTGAGCGCGCTCGAGATGTCACGTCTAACGTTATGGAATCTATATAACAACAATACATCCCCGCCATCTAGCATCAACAATACTTCACCGCCAGGCACTCTGGGTATCGAACCACAGCGGTAAGTTCGTTTACACCAATTTCATGTAATGGGCGCTACACATGATACTATTATTTGTGCAAAACTGTGTTTGCGCAAACACCTTCAAACGTAAATAACGTACGAAATTAGATACACACATTTACGATTTTCCTGAATTTGCGCAAATAATCGTATCATGTGTAGCGCCCATAATTTCAATATGTTACTTTTCATGTCGTTAAATCAAAAAGAAAAAGTTTCATAGGCTTTAAAGGTTGTTATTTGAGTTGGTTTCATGTTCTCGAGTAGAATTTGTACCATACCTATTTTTTTTAACGAATTTTAAGTTTATGAATATTCTTTAATATGTATATTATATAAAATAGGGAAGCTCTAAACTTGAGTGAATCGCCACCACACACGAACCAGCACAATTCATCGGGATTGGGAAACGGAGTTAGCGTGAAACGCGAGTTAACCGAACGCGACCCTCCGCCACCAGCAAAGCGTGTGGGAGGATTGGCGTCAACGGATTTGGCCGACGGTGTAGATAGCGCGACCATCGCCGATGAAGAAGAACCCGAAGGTCTGGGACAGCCAGCACCGGTTGTTTTAGGCACACACTTCAAGATCACAAGTAGAGGTACTTAATTATGATTACATATATTTTTTGAATATATGTTTATAAAATAAAAATACACAGTAAAAAATTAATTGCAGTGTATGAAGAAACTATCAATAGTAATTTTTTTGTGTATTTATTAGCATACTATGCATGACAACCACATGCAAAACTGTTAAATATGCTTGAGTTTTGAACTTCAATATTTAATAACTCGTTTAAAATTAATACTAAAGTAATTATATATTGAGAAGTAGTAATGATATTGGCACAGATAAGCCATTATTTTTATACGATCTACACTAATTAATAATTTCATTAATTACATGCAAGTTATTATTTCATAAAATGCAGGTTATTACTTTCGCCAAATTCTTTTGTTGTGAAATCTGAATTAAAAAAATATACGAATGGTATCAGTTTATATTAGTTCCTCAACTATGCTTAAAATTAAACATTTAAATATTTCATTTAACTTGACTTCGTTCCTTTAAGTATATTAACACTTAAAGCTTATATATGCTCCATAGTATGTTCAATGAACATTCCTCAATTCTGTATAAAATATTATATTGCTTTACCTGAATCTAGTAAACCATTTTAGAAATGAGGCAGAAATTCTCAAAGCAAAACTCAAAATCTTTTCTCAATGTTATGCATATGTCACATGTCTGACCTGTTTTTAATTTGAAACTTTCTAATATTAAATTTTTATTAAGCTTACATACGTGTTTTGCATTTCTAGGTGATTCGAGTGCAGGTGACCAACAATTAGTAGTGACCATAGAACTTAATGGTGTTCTATATGAAGGAGTATTATTTGCTAATAATTCAAGTGCACCACATTCACCACAAGCGCAGCGCCCTCGTCCCATGGTAACATAAATAAGCTGAAAGCAATTCAAGATATTATTTTCAAGACAGTAGTGCACAGAGACATTTATAACTACTATGACTTTCTTGACAATCTTGTCTGTGAAAATATTTGTCGTTAAAATAAATTATAAGATATTAAAAGATAGTAAATACATAAGTGAATCTCTTAATTATAATGAAGTTATAAGTTAATAAAAACTTGGGTAAATTTGTGTGAGCAGATGTGTTTAGTATGAAATTCAACTATATTATATAAACAGTAAAAGATTATTATGCATATCCATAACCATGTAAATATAGGTTTAGGTTGTTTAGATTGTATAATTTCATTACATGCAAACATGTGAAAAATATAATTTTGTTCCCTACATTACAAATGAAATAACTTTGTTATTTCCTCTTCTGTTTGGAAGTGCTATGTGAATCAGAATTCATATAAGTGCATTGAAATTATTTAACAGATTTCTTACATGCATTTTTATAAAAAGTCAATTTAGAATTGTAAATAATATATAATACATATAAGAGATAGTTAAGAATAGCTGTGAATTTGTGTATGTCTTAATATGATATAATAAAGTTTAGAGAAATAAAAAATATATCAAAGAAAAATGAATTTGTTCATAAAATAATATGTTTTAAATTATAGTGCAAACCTCAAATAAACAGAATTTACATTAAAAATACCTTAGATTTTTTTTTAAATATACAATATGCATGCAATTATATCAACACAATAAATTTTCTACTTCAGATCATTGAATGTAGCTTTAGATTTCAAAAAAAGATTCAATATAAAAAACAGATTATGCATTTCATGTGAAAAATGAACATTTTCATTACAACTTTATTAAGACTTAAGAATATGCATAGAATATTCTGCATTTAAATTTTATGTAGTTACTCATAAATATGTAACATATAAAATTAAGGTAGTGTAAGATAGATCCTAAAGCGCTAGTTCATATTAGAGTACATTGAATGATTGCCAAAAAGACTGTTTTTATTTTTATGATTATATGTAGCATTATTATAATCAAAATTAAATTCAAATGCTTATATATGAATATAAATATATTTATATAATTATACATACACGTATATGTATATATACACACATACATGAATACATACACAATTTCTCACCACACACAGAAACGTATGGAAAAATTAATTTGATACCAAATTTTGTAATAATTCATTATAACTGAGACCCCAAAACTAAATTTAGTAATTGAAGTAAGATAGAAACAATTTGCAATAAAAGTTCTTTTACTCAACTGTGCATGTGTATATATATACATATATATTGAATATTTGTTCATGTATGTTTGTAAGTATGTAAGTATTTAATGAGTTACTACAAGATTATGTATAAGCATAATATCTATAATAAATATATTAGAGAATATATGCCAGTAAGAATACACCATATAGTTAAATTATTGCATGATGAAATTCATGTTGATAAAGAAAAATAAACAATAAATACAAAACCGTTTTTATTTTATTATAATTTTTAGACTTAATGATTCTTACACATATTTATTTTCTAGATACATATATAAATTGAATATATTTCAGAAAAAAAAATTAAAAAAAATGATGTATTTTATCATCGTCGATAAGATTTTTCAGAACATATTTACGATCTGTTTCAAAACCTAAACATATTTCTAAAAGCGATGACTGCCTGTTCATGGTCTATTTTGAATATTAATTTGTATGCTAAGCTCGTTATCTATCATTATGAGAAATATTAATTCTTGATTTTCTAATTGCTAATTTCTTTAATTTGATCAATTATTTTGTAATTAAATAATTTTTATTATAATTGAAAATGTTTTTGAATATGAACTGAGTACCCTTATCTTATATTTCAATATAAAATTATCATACAGTTAAAAAGAAATTAATATAAAGCCTTTGTGATATTTTTGAGCAGTTAATTCTTCTTGTTTATATTTCAGAGCACGGTGTAGAGACTTTGGCTTGAAATTTCTGACAAAAGTTGCTATTGAATGACTAATTTAGCAATAAGATAAACGGAAGAATAGCTAATACAACTTTCAAAAAAAAAATTGAACAAGCAAGTTGAAAAAAAGCTTGTAATAAAATGTCACAATATTTCTTCAAAGACCATTTGAATTTTTTTTAAAACAAAAGTGATAATTTTAACATGTTTATTTACAAGCAGTCTATAAGCTGTTATCATTATTTATTGTAATAATTATTTTCCTAATGGATAGTCGAAGGGTTGCCTTCAATTCAATGTTTGATCTACTCTAGTTTTGATATATTTTTTTATTAAAAGGCAACCCAATTGTAATGATCTTTGAAACTTTTTGCAGTAATGCGCGGAAGGACTATTTTCACTTGAAAACGTATCTCCATTTTCAAGTACAAATAGTTATATATAATCACTACTGCTTGGTATCAGGTTGCACTCATCGGAAGATGTGAATTTAAGGTATAGTCGAACCTCTACCACTTACGACACGCACTTCCCAGAATTTAAATTTACTGGTTTATTTAAAAAGCGTTTAAAAGACATTAGTTGGGAATAGTGCTTGCAAGCCAATCTAAGACCAGATTTCATTTACCATTAACAAATGTCATGCTATAATCATTCGAGTCTTTCTTATTGTTTTCAATAAGACATTTCAGACAATCATTGTTACAACTGACTGGAACAAAGGAGTAAAATTTTTGGTACAAGGTTGAAAATACAAAATCATCTGATTAGTGCAGACGATCAGCCGATAGTTCTGTTAGGTTATTTATTGGGAAGTTTAAGCAGTTAAAAATATAATTTTTGTACGGCGTCTATCCAAAATATTCGAGGTAGATTATTATAGAAACTCCGATAGGCAACGGTCTTCAGCCGATCTTTCTAAATGCCCAAAATTGTTTGAAAAATATCAGGAACCACTATATTGCAATGGTTATTAATTGTTGACGAAATAAATTTCAGCTTACTCAAAAAATCATAATCCGAAATTAGAAATTCTGTATTTATCTGAAGTATATATTTTAAATAAAATATATTCGCTAGATCTCAATTCTTGACTTAATCTATCAAAAAGTATATGCAATCAGCTTAAAGACAAAATGCCACTAAAACCTTGTTTAATGGCATTTTATGTCTTAATTTATAGCAGTGCTGATGCTAGATAGGGGATAACTTTTATTAATATCGCAAATGATTTATTGTCGATAAAATCGTATAAAAACAATGGCTTTTTTAATATAGTCAACGTCACTATCCAAATTGTGTACATGTGTAACGCGCAGTTGCTTTGAGAGCGCGTCCACCACGCGCATGCCGCTCTTCAGAGTAAAAAATCAATGAAGTCATGATACGAATATGATTTCAATTTACTTTGCCGTGTTTGTTACTATAAAGGGCAACGCATTAACATAAAATAAGAGAAAAGTTATTTAATAAACGACGTCAAAAAAAACTATCGTTGCAGTTCTGAAAAAGCTTGCGTTTCTCTGAAATGTTAAGTATGCCGAAGTTGAGTGTGCGCAAATCGATATAACATATGTTCCCTTAAATCAATTTTTGTGACGTCATATAGAAGAACAGGCCAAAAACATTCTTATGTGATTGGAAATCAGTGACGTTTACAGTCGCTTAACAATCGCAGTCTCATAATAACTATAGCGACAGTATTATTTGCACGTGACGGTTAAACAGTGACTAGTTAATGATTCGTTAGCGATGATTTGCCAAATTGCTGTCGCTTTTCCGTTTTTATTTGTTATGATTTTAAGCCGATGTTCTGGTGAGGTATTCACGAGTTCCTTTCTAGTTAAGTTCAGGGATGACGTTAACAATGGTGTAGCACATCAGATCGCTAATAAGCATGGCTTCGTTAATCATGGACCGGTAAGTCATCTGAGTTAACTGAATTGTTCACCTAAATTATTAAAGCCTATTGAAAGAAAAAAAAAGAAATCACTTGTGTAATTTGAATTCTCTCTAAACATTCTAAAAAAAATTGGATGCAAAATAGCAATAAACATCAAAAACATTAACTATATTTATCATAAAAAGACTCTGTTTGCGATTAATCTCGAAAAACAATTTAATTTAGTACATTTTAATAATAAAATAGGCTTTTTACTGAATATATTATTCTATACCATTTTAACACGTAGGCGTTCAACAAGTGTGAAAATTCGAAATAGAAAATCATTGAATACATGAACGAGACAATTTCCTAACTGAAAATTCTGGAAGATGTTATGATATCTATAAAATATATTTTAAGATATACATTATAAATTTGTAGTCGAAAATTAAATTTACGAATTTAGCAAATATTGATAATATTAAAATTTGTGTGTTAGTCTATTGATGTCTTTCATCATTAAATACACAGTTTTTCATAGTATTTTATATATTTAATTAATGAAAAGAATATTGTAAAACACGTAAAATATGAGTCTATACAAATATTTTTCACGGTCAAGAATAAAGGGGTGGTTATTTCATTGCTGTTTACTCTATATAGATAATTAAGTTCTGAGAAATAACAGAAGACAAAAAATCGAGTTTTGAAAAAATCGGTTAATTTTGACATACTGAAGAACGCTGGGGTCGGTAATATATTCAGTGAGCTCCAGAGTTTGTTTCATTTGATCATATCATTCTTAGAACTTTTATTATCATCTTATTATGAAATATTATGATAGTTGTACAATATAAGGTAGAAAATCCGTTTCTGTGTATTTCAATTTTGTATTTTTTAATAATTTATATTAAAATATATCTCTACTTCAAGCAATATTGATGAGTTTTTATCAATCGAGCTATGTTATAATAAATGAACGCATTCGCATATTACAATTAAAGTATGACAATATATAAATATATTATCTTATTTTTACAAATGGATCCATATACACAAATATTGATGCATATTAGGATGTAGCAAATATTGATAATAATAAAATTTTGATAGAATAACAATAATCACACCATTTTTGTTATTAGTCTCTTAGCAATTCTCATTATTTACATTATTTTGTTAAGTACAAATGTCTGAAAATCTGGATATTATATTAAAACATATATTGTTTGATCACATATATTTAATTTAATTGTACCTCTGCACGATATTTTCATAATCATAAGTGATCAATTGACCATATGGGATGAAAAATTCGCAGAATCAACGTGTCATACGCGCACATATATTGATTGGATTTAATATAAACGCCACGTCATAAAACTAAAACCATACGCCGAAAATTGTATCATTATGGATTAATAAAAATTAATTACACGTGTCCCACGTATCTATTCTTAATTGTTCGAATTTTACATATTTTCTAAAAAATAAATCTTAACCCATTGAAATTTGATGGAAAAAAACATTCAAAATGTACTATTTTATAAGATTTCTTCTATTAATTTAGATTTATCACTAAATTAATAAAAACTAATTTAATCCAATTGTTCGTATATGTTAACAATTTTCAGCTAATATAAAAAAATATTGTCTACATTAAAAAATTGCCAGTCACTAAACGATCAAAACTTCAAAATCCTAGCCAATATTTTAATGATAACTCAGGAATTTGAATATATAATAAAAGATTCAACTAAGAATGAATCCGTTTTCCGAAGTAATGAAATAATTTTTTTTTCCAAATCAGTTTACGTTCTTCCAATTTAGTTGCCAGATGTAAGTGGCATTTTCCTTGAGGCAAGTTGCGTAGATTTACCGACATGTGTAAATACATAATCGACTTAAATAATTAAACATCAATATATTATTTATAAGTTTCTGTATACCATTATAATATAGAAACTTTTGCAATTGATCAATTTTGCGTCAATTGTCCAAACATTTCAATTATTTTCGATAAATGTTTTGAATATTACACATTAATAATAAGCGAAATTGAAAACGCGCCTAATACGCACACTGAGCACTTTCTAAAAGCGCGACTTATTAATCTATCGCTATTATTTTTAATATAAAAGGGTATTTTTTATTTAATAGGTTGTCAAATATCTCCCTTCCGCCTTTTTGTATTATAAACCAAAAGCAAAAAAGCGGAAGGGAGATATTTGACAACCTAATATAATAAAAATACTTGTTCTAAATAAGGAAGTCTAATTGGTAATTAAGTCAATTTGATGTTTTATATTACATACAATCCTTATCTATGGGTACTATAAATGTTCAGCACCACATTACGAATATTTTAGATTAGTTTTCACAAAATTATCTGCACAATACGTATATATCTCAACAATTTTATTATTTCAGGTGCTTGGATCATCGAGGGAATATCACTTCCAACATCGAACGTTGCCGCATGCACGTTCTAGGAGGAGCATAGGGCATATAAGACTGCTTAAAAGAGAGTCACTGGTATGTTATAAATTGCAACAACAACAAATACTGATTTATATTACATATTTCCAATTTTGAGAGGTTTTTGAGAGGAAAATTAAATAATTCCAAAGATAATATAATAATGATTTACATTTTTATAGTTATGATTTTTATCCGCACTTCATCGCAATAAATATTGAAAAATGCATTAGATTCATTTACACAATTCTGCATAAATCTTCCCTTGAGATAAAAAAAATTCTCGAAAATAAAATACTTTATATATCTTCAAGTTTCAAAGGTTTCTGAACATTTTGGCATACCTTAGAAAAAGTATATGTATGTGCAAATACAAATTTTCGTCGAAAATTTCGGGAACACGGCTCAACCGATTTGAATGATTCAAAAAACATTCGATTCCTATTTATAAAAGAGATGCTGATGTACTTTCTTCTCTAAATCAGCCACGCAGCACGATTGCTTTGAAAAAAAGTTCAATATTTTCAAAAAAAAGTAATCAAAATATAAAAAAATTAAATTTTCAAAAAAGTTTTAATTTTGGGTACGGAAAGATTTAGAAGTAAAATTTAATTCTTATGATACAAAATATCTTATTTTCCAAACGTCACAATTGTTGGATTCAATTTTGAACGTGACAATCGTTAGATTCAATTTTAATCGTGACAATCGTTAGATTCAATTTTAATTGTGTCAATCGTTCGACCCAAGTGATCAAATTGACAATTCATTATATTTGTCATTGATCAACAGATAAATTCGGCGGTACAGCAAACTGGATTTTTGCGAGTGAAACGCGGGCATCGCAATCTGCGCCCCCTATCTCGTGTTCCGCCCAATAATCCTGCCAATGACTTGGAGGCTTTGCACAGAGCGCCTACAGATCCCTACTTTCCTTTGCAATGGTACCTACGCAATACAGGACAAAACGGCGGCAAAGCCCGATTAGATCTCAATGTGCAGGACGCTTGGGCGCAGGGCATTACAGGCAGAAATGTTACGACAGCGATTATGGATGATGGTAAGTACTTATCGATAAAAAAAAACCTATAAAATACGCAGTAAAATAGCAGTTATATTTTTATTGTATTTCACAGGCGTTGATTACATGCATCCAGATTTGAAATACAATTATGTAAGTATATAATCCACATATATACATACACAGAATACACACAATACATGTTCGTATATGTGAAATATGGCTATATACTACCAAATATTAATAAAACTAATTGCCCTGTTTTGAATACATTTTGGTAAGTATTCAGCGCTAAAATAATTTGGCTGTTAAAATGTATGTAGTACGTATACTTAAATTGCCGGAGTTCTAATAATTAACACTTTGCCGTCCGCACGTCTTGTAAAAATTTATTCACTTGGCGCCGGTAGTGCTAATTCGTTATCACTTTGCTTGTCCCCGCCCATTCTGAATATTATCGAAAAATTATAAATTTTTAGTTCTTACTAATGTTGAGGGGTGTAACTTTTTGTTATCTAAATTAAAACACCAACAGGATGGAAAGATTTCTGCCACTGGCCAAAGGAAGATACTGTGCTCATGACACCACTGTGGTGTCGCCGGCTGTTAAGCGCTAGTTCGCGCTCGACACCACTGTGGTGTCGCCGGACGGCATAGTGTTAATAATATATTAAATAAAAAAATACAAAAGTAGCAACATGTTTATGTTAATTATATGCGAATATATTTAAAAAAAGCTCGAGCTTTTTAAGCCAAAGTGAATTTTAAATTTAGAGATAAAATGTATAAAGCTTTTACCAAACTGAAATTAACAATAATTTATTAATATATTTATTTTATATTATAATTTAAATAGTTCTTATGGAAATCCGCATTAAGAAAAGACGCATAATAAATGTACAAAAATCGCAATAATAATATTCGCGAAACAATTGTTTGTTACTTCATGCTTTTGTATTTTTCTATTCACATTATGCGTGGCATTGCGTTACATTAAATAAAGTTACTGTATAAAATTAACTGTTTAAACCCAATTTGCGTTAAACGGCTAAATTTTATAATATAGAATTTCATGATCAATGGAAGCATGCCTTAGAAAAATTATAACCATGTTAAGCAAACCTTTATATTTTTGAAAAATTAAATAATAATTTAATTATTTAATTGAAATAGTTTTCAACAGCAGTGGTCATGCCATACATGACTTGAAAGTATTGTTTTCTTTTATTAAAACAATTCTATTAAAATCGAATGATGAATGAATAAAATTTTAATAGCCTATTTGTGTTGGTTAATAATTTAGTATTACTGTTGTAATTATTCAGAATAACCGATTCATAAACGATATTTGCAGAACGTTGAAGCCAGCTATGACTTTTCTAGTAATGATCCTTTTCCATATCCGAGATATACCGACGATTGGTTTAACAGCCACGGAACAAGATGTGCTGGTGAAGTTGCAGCAGCGCGAGACAATAAAGTTTGTGGAGTTGGCGTCGCTTACAACTCGAAAATTGCCGGTAATGTTATAAATACTGATAAATTTAAAAACTGTTAAACCACTTTAGATCACATTTCTTTTTAGTAAATAATAATGATAAAGATGAATCACTTATTTAATATTTCCATTACTAAAGATTTATTTTGCCTTTTTCCGAGATCTTTTGAAACTTGTCTTCGCTACTTTTATTTTCTCTGTGTATGATTCTCTCTTATGTATATTATTTTCAGGCATACGAATGCTTGATCAACCATATATGACCGATTTAATCGAAGCTAACTCCATGGGTCACGAACCACATAAAATCCATATCTACAGCGCTTCATGGGGACCCACAGACGATGGTAAGACGGTGGATGGACCACGTAATTCTACCATGCGCGCCATAGTGAGAGGAGTCAATGAGGTTAGATATCTCTTCGGAATATTACTAGATATATGATTATATTCTGAGCCTTACATAAAAGATATAAATTTTTTACAAATAATAGCCGCGCTATTATGACCTTGCATTAAGGGGGTTGTTCTTTTTTTTGTTACAAAAAATGCAAGGTATTTGTTTTTATTTTTCTCGAAATGTATTGATCATAGAGACATGCGGTTTTTTTAAACAAAAATTACAAAATCATAGAATATTAAGAAATTTTATATTTTTTTTTGTCGCCGTCATTTGTTAACCAGGGGGCGCCAAAGTAGGCATTGCAAAATCGATCTCTTTTGCGGTGCCACAGATAAATCCGTTGCGCATCGCCTGAAACAAAAAAAAAACCAAAACTACGTTGAAGAAGAAGTTTGAATCCAGTCCCCCTACCAAAATAAAAGAAAAAAAAGCAAGGAGGAAAAAAATGGCAGCTATTTAAAAAAGTGTTAAAAAGGGCCCTTTTTTGGGACGAGAAGCTTCGCAATTTTTTTTTGCGTAATGTTATCAAGTTGTTTGAGGTAGGGGGATTAGGTATTGCAGTGGTGAACAAATTAAAAAAAAATGCAAGTCGATCCGACTTGTAGTTTTTTTTAATTTGTGGCACCGCATTGAAAAAAGTCAATTTGAGAAAAACGTATTTAAAGTTTTTAATGTACTAAATACACCATTTAATTTAATGTACTAAATACACCATGGTGTTCAAAGATGGTGACACATTAAAAAGGTCATGTGCATGAGGTATTATAATGAAAAAGAGAGCAGCTGGCATACAATAGCTCCGGAGCGATGAAAAAACGGTTTCAGAGGATCATACATATAGAGATATATATAAGGCTGTCAAATAGCTCCCTTCCGCCTTTTTGTATTATAAACCAAGAGCAAAAAAGCGGAAAGGAGATATTTGGCAACCTAATATCTATAACTTCGTCAAAAAAATAGATATTGAGATGATTTTTTTTTTTAAATAATTTTAAGGTTTTTAGCTTTCATAATATCAAAAAATCTCGAAATCGAAAAAAAAATAAATAAAAAAAGAACAACCCCCTTAAAGCATCCATTTGGCGACTTTGGTTTGCCTCACTATCACTAAAATTTAAATATTTTGAATGGAGTTCGTTAACAAATGCTATTCCAATATTGGAATAAAATAGCAAACATTTTACAATATGTCATGTACTGAAATATTCCTATTTTGTGAGAGTTTGATCCGACAAGGTCCTACACTGAATATAACCAACAATACAAAAAATGTGTACTATAAAATAGAGATATATTATAATATATTAATAAGTGCCGAAAACATCATTTACATAACAGGGCCGGAATGGTTTGGGAAACATTTATGTGTGGGCTTCCGGTGACGGTGGTGAAGAAGACGATTGCAACTGTGATGGCTACGCTGCATCTATGTGGACAGTATCCATCAACAGTGCCATTAATGATGGACAGAACGCGCACTACGACGAGAGCTGTTCCAGCACGCTTGCTTCCACTTTCAGTAATGGTGCCAAAGATCCCAACACTGGAGTGGTGAGATTATTTCACAATCACACTTACTTTACATGCAAAAACTTTATCTGAACACGATAGGATGTACAAATTACGAAATATTAGCAACTCATATTCTCGATATAAGGAAAAATATTTAGCTTTGATTACACAGGTCCACAAAATAAAAAAATATCTGTATTGGGTGTACGACATATGTTTTCCAGTGCATTTTTTACCATTATCTCCTGTCTAGAAATTTCTATATGATAATTACAATGTTATAAATTTTGTCGTTTTCTGGCTCTTTTTTCCTTAACAACGCATTTTTCATTTCTGTTGAGAATATTTTTTAGCTTTCAGCAATAATTTGCAAAAATATTTACTTCCTATTGCTTCTAGATAATTTGAAAACATATTTGCATTTAACTGAAAATATGTTTTCAAATTACTGATGGAAGTTATGAAAAGTTACTCAACAGAGATAAAAAAGCGTTGCAAAAATCCGTTGTACGGATTTTTAAGGAAGAAAGGACCAGAAACAACATAAATTATAAGATTTTAATTATCTCGTAGAAATTTTTCTAGATCGGTGATTTTGTAGTATTTTTTAATCTTTAATTGCTTTTGCAGTTTGCCCCCCCCCCCCAATGTTTACTTAGATTCGTGTTCAGTGGTAAAAACTACATTGGAGAGCGTATGTCGCACCCCCCCAATACAGACAACTTTTTTATTTTATGATCCTGTATTATTATTACTAGCTTTTATGCAATTAATTTCTTTGTAATGTACATAAATGCTTATTAACATTCTAAAGAGTTGAAAGTCGAGAACGTGTTCCATCATACGTGAAAATTTAAAATAAAATTAATAAACTCGCTATAGAAATATTTAAACTAATGTGATAAAATATTAAGATTAAGTTTAATAAAAAAGCACTTATGGATATGAAAATTAATTTACGAAAATATCTAGATCTATGTAAGGTATCTCAACAAAAATAGTGGTTTTAATCAAAATTAAATGTATCTTCAACTACAAAATTAATATAATATATTTATATATAATAGAAATAATTTTCTATGAAGAAGATTTAAACATATTGAAATTTTCACGATCACTTTCTAGTTTATAGAGCTATGAAAATATTCCTAAAATATGAATATTTTGAAATGTTGAACAAACTATTTGTCTCTCAGGCTACAACAGATCTATATGGAAAATGTACTACAACGCATTCAGGTACTTCAGCCGCTGCGCCGGAAGCTGCAGGAGTGTTTGCACTCGCGTTAGAAGCCAAGTACGTTTAATATAACATATTATATTATATATTAAATTAATTTGCAATAAAATATTATATTTAATTTCAGTCCGCAACTGACATGGCGTGATATTCAGCATCTCACAGTTTTGACATCGAAAAGAAATTCATTATTTGATGCAAAAGTGAGCAAAACTTTATTTAGTTGCTGCTAAATATATATTAATTATTAATATAATATATATTATTAATATAATATATATTATATATATATATATATATATATATATATATATGTAAATTACTAAAAATAAATAGAAACTCATTCAAAATGCCGAATAATAAACAGTACCATAACATGGAATATTAATTTTCGTATCTTAGAACGTAGAAAAATATATGAAAATTCGTTATACTTAAAACGAGTAAAACAAAATATAAACACAGTGGTACACCGACATATAAGTTTAATTTGTATCGCTCGCATTTCAAAGCAAATTTTTCCATATAAATACATTGAAATGCCATTAATTCGTTCCATCGTTGCGCTTTTTGTGAAGTTTTTTGAATATTAAAAACAAAATTACTATTTATTAATTAATTTACTTATTTTTTCTTGCGCAATATCATTTCCATTCATGATATTGCAGAAATAAGTTTGACAAATTTCGCTGAACAGCTCCCATGCACGAACTGTTGCAACCGTTTCGGCGTGATTTTTATTCACAAAATTTTAGAGCTCAGAAAACTGCTTAGAAAACATTCAAGTTCAAACATTCATCAATTCAAGAGGCATGATCCTTTTCTTTCGGCCCTTGGATATACCAGTAAATAGTATTTTTTTAATGTACAAAAAGCAAAAACGCAAACTTAGCATATATAACTGCACAATGACCACTACAACGTATAGTTAAATCAAAGTTTGCACCAATATTAAGGACAGTTATGCCTCTTTTAAATGAGCAATTCCAGGTATTTAGTTCACAGTATATAGATATATATATATATATATATATATATATATATGTAAATTACTACAAATAAATAGAAACTCATTTAAAATGCCGAATAATAAACAGTACCATAACATGGAATATTAATTTTCGTATCTTAGAACGTAGAAAAATATTATATGAAAATTCGTTATACTTAAAACGAGTAAAACAAAATATAAAACAGCTCGCATTTCAAAGCAAGACATATAAATTTAATCCATATAATTCATTAATTTATTTAAATGTATAAACATTCGTTCCATCGTTGCGCTTTTTGTAAAGTTTTTTTGAATATTAAAAACAAAATTACTATTTATTAATTAATTTACTTATTTTTTCCTGTGCAATATCATTTCCATTCATGATATTGCAGAAATAAGTTTGGCATATTTCGTTGAACAGCTCCCATGCACGAACTGTTGCAACCGTTTCGGCGTAATTTTTATTCGCAAAATTTTAGAGCTCAAAAAACTGCTTACATTACATTACATTCAAGTTCAAACATTCATCAATTCAAGAGGCATGATTCTTTTCTTTCGACCCTTGGATATACCAGTAAATCGTATTTTTTTAATGTACAAAAAGCAAAAACGCAAACTCAGCATATATAACTGCACAATGACCACTACAACGTATAGTTAAAATTTCAAACGTTAAAATAATCCTCGATATATTCACCTGTGTAAATCGTTACTACACAATAATATTAATATATAACTGAAACTGACTAACTACAAAAGAATTTACTATTATAAGAACCAAAATATTTCCTTGTTTTTCATATTTTCATTTTGCCATCAACATTTTTTTTTTTGGAATAAATTCTCGCAAAAACTCGTATCACGAATTTTGCTCGTATGTCGAAGCAACAAATCGCTTATTGGCGGCTCTTATCTCACCACACTCGAATGTTTCGATCCGACTTATGGTCGCTCATAAGTCGGGGTAAAACTGCATATTGATATATTTTACGCGACTGATTAAATTACTTGTCTTTGATCTTTAGGGACGGTTTCATTGGACAATAAACGGTGTGGGTCTTGAGTTCAACCACTTATTTGGATTTGGGGTACTGGATGCTGGTGCAATGGTACGTCTAGCTAAACATTGGAAAACAGTGCCGCCAAGATATCATTGTGAAGCCGGATCTATATTTGAGCCAAAGTAAATATAAACTACTTAATACAATGTACGATCTTCTATGTTTTCATATTACTATGCGCATTTGACTCAACATGGCAATTTTAAAAATTGATTACAAAACCATTTATTCTAAATCTAATTTAAAAATAAAATTCAATTCTTTTTTGCACATAATATATTTGATTCTATTTTCTCTGGAAAATTAATAAACAAAATTTCTTCTACAGAAATAATTCTATTACGGGTTTGTTTGGTGTGCACAGTTTGTGACGATCCACAACTGCCCCAAAGACATTCCGAATTTTTGCACTGTGTAAACAAAAATCCACAAAAGTATGGAATTCCTGTTGGTACACAACCCAAACGGACAAAATGGGTCTGCGTATGTGTCTGAAGGTTGTGGACTGTCATCTCTTGCACATCAAACAAACTGTACATTGCATATATTTATAAATTTACACACACACATACAGTATATATATATATATATATATATATATATAATAGTAATAGTAATCTGCCCAAAGGCAGGTCCATCAACCATTTGCATTCTTCTTATTCCCTAACCATTTAGTCCTATTTTACCTTGGACGACATCATGTAGAAACCACTCGCAGAATGGGTCTTATCCAATTTCCTTTCCTTTTAATGTTAGCGCTCAGAATTCTTTCTTCGCTCATTCTTCTTAAAACTTCTTCATTTGTTACCTTATCTTCTCCATTCGTCTCCAGCACCACATTTCAAAACACTCCAGATAGTTTTTGTCAGCTTTTTTTAGAGTCCATGTCTCTGATCAGTACAGAGCTATACTCTGGACATAACACTCTTCACAAGCCTCATGCGCAAGTCGAGACTCAGTTTGCTCGTCAGTAAATTTCCCTTCGGCGTGGATGCCGCTTGTGATCCTTGCCATGATCTCTCTTGTGCAGTATCCGTCCCTGGTCAAAATGTTTCCCAAGTACATACTTAAAGTGATCTACATCATCAAACTCTCGAGTTCCTACAGTTATCCTCAGTGGCTTTCTTCCTTTCAATATCCTCATCACTTTCTATTTGTCAATGTTAATCCCCATTCTGTATCTTCTAACCACTTCGATGGTTCTGCTCATCAGGTTTTGTAACTCGGTTTTAGAAATCACCACGATATCAACTGTGCACTTGATGCTGACAATTCTTCTTCCCTCAATCGAAATATCTCAGGTGTTGTAAGTGCCTCATTGACGAGCCATTCTCCCCACAGGTTGAATGAGATCAGTGACATGCAGCATCCTGCTGCACTCCTCTACCTATTTCAATGCTGCTTGTGCCTCCATGGTTCACTTGAACCTTTACTTTCAGTTCCATATACAGATTCTAAATCAACCTGTGGTCTCTCAAATCGATGCGAATAGATTCCAGTTGATTGTCAAACGCTTTTTGCCAATCTATGAAACAGAAGCAAATGTACTCATCAACTATTGCTTTCTTACTTCCCTTGTCTTGATTATCCTCTTTCTCTTCTTCAATAGCAATATTATATATATATATATATATATATATATATATATATATATATTTATATATGTACTTTAGATTTTTGTTCGATGTTGAAAGATACTCTTAAAACACTTTTAAAATGTTAGTTTGCAGTCAAATAGAGGAAATAAAAAGCAACAAATAATTAACTATTCTGATGTTTCAACGCTGATTGTGTTATCATTCAGCATGTTTAACAAATTCAAAGCAGGAAAAAACAACTTTCAAAGACAATTTTCATAAAGCAACCAACCAATAAATAAAATAATTAACTAAAAGGTAAACAATAAAATTATGTAGTAGTCACATGACTGACTTGCTTTTCATTTAAACTATTTGGCTGCAAAAAACACTTCAAGTGCATAATATATATATATATATATATATATATATATATATATATATACAACCATATATTATATATAAATTTATATGTGTATAGATGCATATAAATCTTATGGTGAAAAATATATAGTGTTAATTAATATATTATGCTTATAGCCAAATTCCTTCAGATCGATCATTAGTGCTAAAAATTACAACGGATGTGTGCGCTGGTACTGACACTGAAGTACGATATTTAGAACATGTACAGGCAATTATTAGCGTAAATGCAAGCAGAAGGGGTGATTTAGAAATGTTCTTAACATCACCCATGGGTACAAGGTATGTGTATTAAAGTCTAAGATTCATATGTCTACCTAACTATCTATCTATCTATATATCTGTCCATCCATCTTTATATATACATATACACACAATAATATATAGTAATAATATATATAGTTCATGTATAACATGAATAAAAAACATGGGATATGCATATCTAGTTATTTTGAACAACTCAGGTGATAACAAATCATTATTGTAATAAAGCATGTACAAAAAACATGGTATGTGCAATTCTAATTATTATAAACAACTCAGGTGATAACAAATCATTATCATATCAGTCAGATGTATATGTATACTTCAATAATAAAATAATGATTTGTTATTAATTGTATTGTTCAAAATAATCAGAATTGCACATACCATGTTTGTTATTCATGTTATATAAAAAATGATTATTAAAATATGGATATAGAACAATTTTTATCGAAACACCATTATAAATGGTGCTTTCTCAAAAATTATTCCTGCAAACTAATATGCAATTCTTTTGTATCAAATATTTTTCAAAATTTTGCTTAATCGCTTCTTCTTTGGCATAATCTAATATACTAGTTGTATATAAGATGCAATTGCATCATTAAACTTACAATTAGATTTTTTATGTCTACTAGATAAAGACTAATTATTGGTACATACACAAATATAAGACTTCACCAGTTATTCTATGCTAAAAATAAATAATTCCATACATCATTTTATGTTTCTCGACAAAGTCAATTCTAAACGCTCAAGTGATACATGAATGCAAAATATTTTGAAAACAATTTTGACATATGATAATATATTTAAACTTACCCCATAAAATGACTAACAACAACATATTGCATTGAATGTTGTTACAAGCCTTCAAATTACAATAATCTTTGCTCATAAGCCTTTTCGTCTCATATAGTTTCAGAGTAAACTTTGTACGTGTTTGTCTATGATTGTATTAAAGAAATAGGTTGTTATTAAATAACAATAAAGTAAAATGAGAATTTAAAAAAAATAACAGTATACCTTTGAAGTTCCGAATTCTGAAGAATTTATATAATTATAGATTGTCACATCAGTTTTATACTGTGTTAATATACATAACAAATATATTATTCAACAATCTGAAAAATTATTAAACACATGAGAAACATAATTTATTTTAACGATATTCACTTCAAAGACATAAGCCAATTCTGTCACTCTGTGCACAAATGCACAACTGCACGTGTTTAAATATAATAAACGACATTAGTGCCGCAGCGTTTCTGAGCGCCTCTGGCGACGAATCACCGAGTCAAAATTTGCTGTTTGGAGTTTAAATATTTCCATGTCATGGCATCGTGCCTTAACTGCTGGAACTTACCGTTTTCGAGAAATAAAAATATTTTTTTTACATTTTTTGAGAAATTGGAAATTTTTGAAAATATCCGATTCTTTTGAAAATTTCGAAAAATTCTCAAATTTTTGTAAGAAATCGTTTTTTTTAATTTTGATATTTTTCGAAATATTTTGAAATTCAGATTTTTTTCAAAATGATGAAAAATTTCGAAAAACTGTGTTTTTGAAACTTTAATTTTTTTTTGAAGTTCGAAAATTACAAATTTTTTTGTAAAACCACTTTTTGCACACCGTCTACACAAGCAAAAGGTTTTTTGAATTAATCTAATCGGATGATCTGTTCTTTTAAAAACTGCATAACCATTTCAACACCCTTTGCGCTCCATATCTCCGGAACGGCAAGATGTGCCTTTTGCAAAAATGGCTCGTGATCGAGTACAATCCGAATGTTTTTTCAATAATACAAATCGGTTATTCCATGCTGTCGAAAATATCGAGGACATTTGAGTTTATTAACATGTTCAAACATGTTTGAACCATATAAATAAACTTCAACATTAAAAATCTTGGTGCGGAACAAAAAAAAAAATACACAAAATGTGTACACATTATTAAAATATCTATAAAATATCTGAAAATTTGATGTGCATATATCATTTTTGACCGCCAAATGACATTTTTTTACTTTTTCTTATTAAAGAGTCCATAACCAGTTCTTCGTTTAGTAAAATAAGTAAAACATCAGTAATAAGTAAAATGTTTTTTGAATTATTCAAATCGAACTTTGCGTTCCCTTAAAAACTGAATTACCATTTTTGTTTTTTTTAGCCCCGTATCTTCGAAACGGCTAGACCTGCCTATGCCAAAAACTAATCAGCACGTCCCCTTATCAATACAAATCGAATGTTTTTTAAATTATTGAAATCGGTTGATCCGTGTTCCCGAAATCGTCGACAAAAATTTGTATCCGCACGCACACATACATCAATTTTTTCTAAGGTATGGCAAAAATATGTAATTAAAATTAATACAAATACACACATATTCCAATGGGTGTTCTGCCCTACACCGCAGAGCCCGATATGGGCACTATTTTCAATTGGAGAAAATTGATATCAATATTACATTATATCAGATTGTCTAGAGCGGGTTTTGGAGCACACACACACTACACCTGTGTATATAATTATACTCACACACTATATACCATGTGTATATAATTTTGTTCACATATTGTTTTTAAATGGCATCTATCGAGATGATAGAAAAAAATTAAATTGTTTTCCTAAAAAATTTCGAGTCCAGTTTAATAGGGGGTACAACACAAAAATTATTTATAAAACACAAAGGCCACAATCAATGAATAAAATATTTGAATAATGCATATATCTTCAAATCAGTTTATAATAAATTCTGTCTTCATAAAATAGTCTGTCGTGCATAATAAATCGTTAACAAAGAATGATTGAATGTATAATATTTTGAATAATAAATGACCAATAGATGCAATTTTAAAATTAACCACTCCTGCTCTAAATTTTATATTTATGCTTTTGATTGGTTATTTTCATTAAAATATATGTTGTCAATTAGAAATCGCCTAAAAACAACGTGTCGATATTGTACGAATTTTCTTCCTTTTTAATTAAGTTAATTGCCACATATTTTCATATTATTATATAACTTTTTACAACTGATATAAGATATAAGCTTATATCATATCAGTCGTAAAAAGTTATATAATAATATGAAAATATGTATATCTATCTAGATAGATTACAGATTTTTCTGCTTTTCTAGTATCATATTATTTTCGTTAATAGGAAAAAAATCTAGTTCGAAAGATTTTAATTTGCTACTACATATAATCCAAGCATTTCAAAAATAATTAAAACGTTAAATACAAAGTGTCATAGAAGCAAAATTCATAACTCGTTTAAGAATATTTCTCAATTTCTCAGTCATTTCAATCAGTGACCATATAATAAAAAATAGAATAATTAATTGAATTAGATTGAGTAAAATTGCCATCATTATATTTGAATGTAGTAAAGTTTAGAATAATGTTTAACTGATTCCATTTACAGATCAATGATATTAAGCAGAAGACAGAACGATAATGACCAAAGGGACGGTTTCACTAAATGGCCATTTATGACCACACATAGTTGGGGCGAATATCCAAAAGGAACATGGATTTTAGAGGTAAATTCATATTTATCACTTCAAATATGTAATAATTATATAATATATTATATATTTATCACTATAAATATAAATAATAAAAGTCAATAAATAGATTGGTGTACTCTGAAATCGCATATACGCAAATGTGTAATACTATATTTTCTTTTCAGGTGAGATTCAACTCGAATCAGCCCCAGTCGGGATGGTTACGCGAATGGTCGCTTGTACTGCATGGAACAAGGGAGCCCCCATACGATTCATTACCTCCGGCAGCCCCTCACTCAAAACTCGCCCTGGTCAAAAAAGCACACGAAGAAAAGAATTCTTAATCAATTTATTTAACATGATATGCATCCATATATCAAAACCCATATGGAACTTGGAATAAACGGTTTATTGATTTCATTCTACACGCTTGTAGCACCAGGTGCAATTTGCTTTCGAATACCTTTTGGAAAAGTGATATGTATTATGTATATTTTATTATCGAAAACCACATGTGGTGTTGTTTACTGTGGTTAAAATTAATAAATGTTATCAATTTATTTAACATGATATGCATCCATATATCAAAACCCATATGGAACTTGGAATAAACGGTTTATTGATTTCATTCTACACGCTTGTAGCACCAGGTGCAATTTGCTTTCGAATACCTTTTGGAAAAGTGATATGTATTATGTATATTTTATATCGAAAACCACATGTGGTGGTTGTTTACTGTGGTTAAAATTAATAAATGTTTATTTATTTTGTATAAAGATATAAAAATATTTAACTGGAAAATGTGATGTCTTTTAATAGATGCTATTCATTGGTTGCAACAAAAATATACATGTAACCTACGTTAATTACTTGTGTAATATATATTTAATGCAAAATTTTGTATAGTTTTATGTGAAGCATTGAAAATAAAAATATAAAAACAAAAAAAGATTCATAATCCAAGTATCATACAAATTTTTTGATTATTTTTTATTGCAAACATGTAACAAGTAAAATTATATGGTTTTTAGAACATAATTAACTCTTTATTCGATCTATTAAAATGCAAGTATATAATCAGCTAACCTATAATAATATAAAGCTATGTCCATGCTAATATTATCACTTATATCATTACTGGGTCCAATTATTATTATTATTTTAAAACACATTAACATGTTATCAATACTGATATTCGTTACATTATAGTGAAGCTGAAAAGCAAGCATAAATAATTTAAACCATAAGTACTCCAATCAATACAACCGGATAAATTGAAGTACATATAGAACTTAATATCCTTATCTGTACATATATATTGTACTGAAAATATGATAAATAAATCAAAACTAAAGATGTAGTTCGTAATTTTATTTGACAATAGAATTGAGTCAAAGAAAAAAGACATGCAGACGCTATACTTCCACTTTCAAAAAATGTAAAAACATATATGTGCACCTTACACCCAGTGGTGTTGAGCTATTTTTTTTACCAGTTCAGCAGAAAACCTTTCCCGACTCCAATTCACGGTTCGGAAAAACAAGCCGGTTTGTTCCGTTTCGAGTTCGGTTCAAACTCGTGTTTATTATTATGAATACATATAAAAATTTGTCAAAAATTAGAATTGAGCTAAGCAATTCATTTTAAATTTATTTCAATACGTCAGCCAATTCTCGATATTAAAAAATAATCTTTAGTTCCGGAACGCGTTCCTAGCCAAGAAGAAAGTACCGGAACGACGTTCCGGAGTGTTTAGGCTCTACAACACCACTGCTTACACCGATGTACTACCAATTTTCAGCTAACTACATAAAAAAACTCGTAAATACATTAAGCATTATTCTATTATTTATAATTTAACGTTTGTATAACTTAATTTAATCATCACATCAGCCTATGTGTTTATTTTAAAGAATACGAATAAAATATTTTTACTGACAATTCATTATGTGCATATCATTCTTAAATTTACAGTACAATTGTATTTACAGAAAAAGTGTGGATATTAAAAAAAAAACCATTATATTTAATAAAACTCGAGTTGGTATTAGCATTTTTAATTTTTCTCGAAGTTTTCAGTCATTCTGAATCGCTTGCCACAGGAATTTGAGAAGTATGTCAGCCAAAATTATTACAAAAATTTAAAAACCATTCGATGATACTCGATAAGAACTTGTAGCTAGTTTTTTAAGGGGGTCTTCCTATGTGATGGGTTGAAAAAATCGATGTTTTTTTCATAAATTGCTCCCTCAACATGTCTAGAATACGGTAGTAAAGCGATTTTAGAAAATTCGAAGTCGTGTTAAAGATACAGCAGGTAAAAGAAAGAGCGGTTTGGAGCGCTGAGTTGGCAGTTAGAGCCCGGGCCTATTGTGTACTGTCGGTTTTATACCCGGCCTCCCTTTTATTCATATATCCGTTTATACAAAGTTTGTTTAGGAGCAGAGACACAAAACAATAACGAATCTTTGAATTCTTTGATTTGGGCTTTCGCTCCTAAACATCTTCATTCTGGTCCCAAAATTGTTGAAATTGCTAGCTACTTAGCAGTTATTATCTTTAATGAAGGTTTTCAAGTTATTTTAAAATTTATGTTTATATTATGGGATGTCCTGTTGGTCGTGAAGCCCAAGCGTATGTTGAGAAACGGGATGAAAAGCGAATCTTACGTTCTGAGCGGCGCGTAAGTGATGTCGTTAAACAAGCCAGGATTGACTCAAGAGCTGAACAATCTGCTTCAAAAGAGTTTCACGAGGAAGAGGAAGGAATACTCTATGGACCAGGCATCGCCGATTGAGAGTAAGTTGATATTTTAATAGTTTTTAACGGACTTGAAACTTTAAACGCGTTTTTCTCAAAACTGTGTTTTTCAAACTTTTCTCCATTGTATCTCAGAAACGGCTGGACCGAATTACTTGAAATTTACAGGGCACACTCAATATATTTAAACGCATGGAATGAACTATTATCAATTTTCAAAACTTCGATTTTTTTATAGTAAAAAACAAAAAAACGCCTAATTTGCAACTTTTATTTCAAATGTCTATCAAAAATCCAATTTTTTTTATATTCATTTGATTATAGGTCATTCCCTGCTTTTAAGTCTACAAATTAAAACGCCGTTTATTTTTTTTTTTTCAGATAAGTCGATCAGCCGGAATCGTGGAGGAAGTGGGAGCTCTTTTTTTCGAGGCGGGGGTGTTCAGAGCGCTGTAACTCTATTTTTAGCTGAAATTTTATATTTATACTGTCCAAATATGTGTTAATAAATGATAAAAAACTTGAAGCTCTAAATATTTACTGGTCGTAGAAAAAAAATCCTAAAATATCCCTAAAAAACAGGCCGTCACATAGGAAAACCCCCTTAAGACAACAGGCCTTTCTTTTTAAAACTCGCATAAAGTTAAATAGATTTTTTTGATAAAGATCTGTCGGGCCGTTTCTTTGCAGTAGATTGTTTAAAAATATTTTTTTACGATTTTAATGAAAAGTAGAGACCATAAATAAGCATAATGGTTTTAATATCCTAAAATATTGAGAGGATAATGGTTTAATTATAATAATTTTATACCACTAATCTCATAATATAAGTTTAAAATTGGTAAATGTCAATTCATATTGAATAAGTTGATTATGTACACGTATCAGAGTTTTTGCAAAAGGCAAAATAAATAATTACTTAGGAAAATGCCACATACACCTGATTACTTATATGTGATAATTTTTCAAGGCTATATAAAATGTTAACACAGTAGAAGCAAATTTTAGGAACGTAAGATGAAATAAGATATTGATAAAAATACAACTAACTTAAATTTATATAATGTTACGATTATAAAATTCATTATTAACATAAATGAGCACCTTCAACTATTAAGTAAATCGCTAATGCATCAGACACATCTGATAACCAAATAGCCTATATAAACCCTGCTTTTTCTCCTGTTTTGACTTGTACCTATCATACAACCTGTACTTTTACTCTAAGAAACCCTTTTACTATTTTTGGTATGCTCACGTTTACTATTTAGCAGATATTTTACAAGAATAAAAATTTTAAAATACCCTTGAATCCATACACTTTAACATCAACAAACTATAGTGTTACCACAGCTAAACTCTTAGTATTATTATATAATTCAGAAAAAACAAACTATAATTCAGGAGAATATATTCTTGAACAAAATTTCACAAATCTAACAATTTATTACTAATACATTTATTGACATCAACATCAAAAAGTTGTTAGGCTTGTATACATTATAAATCAATTTTGCTCATAATAATATTTAATTTATAATCTATAACATTGCAAATGAATGAATTAATAAATGAAATATGAAATGTACGAATCTTCAATTCTAGGTCGTCAACATTGTGATATACATTATCAAAATATTTACAAACAAAATAAGTAAATTCAAACTAGGATAAACTGAAATATACATTATAAATCAATTTTGCTCATAATAATATTTAATTTATAATCTATAACATTGCAAATGAATGAATTAATAAATGAAATATGAAATGTACGAATCTTCAATTCTAGGTCGTCAACATTGTGATATACATTATCAAAATATTTACAAACAAAATAAGTAAATTCAAACTAGGATAAACTGAAATATAATCAAATACTATAATTACTATTTTAACAAGATATGAATAAAATATAAAGAATTTCATTCAAAAACACTTACAAACAATTACCAAATCGGTAATTTCTAGAACTCCCATAAACCATCTGAACTATGTTCGAAATGCAGAAATACAAAATAGCTATGATGATTAATCAATTTAGTTTCTGAATACCATACAAGCCGCCTAATTTGCATATTCAATATGATGTCAAATTTTACAGAACTTTTATCAGGTCAAATATAGAATATCTCTTGATTTTGCTGTTTATATATATGCTCATATATATATATATATATATATATATATATATATATATATATACATGTACATATATACACATAAAAATATGCATATTATTCCCTTACAAAGTTGTGTTCTTTAATATGTCCACCATCACCTTCAGAAACGAATCGTTTGCGACCTCTGAAATACAAAATAAATTTTGTGTAGAGTTAATGCACAAACAATATAAAAATCAATTGTAAGTTGTATGAGAAAAAAGTAAATTTTATGTGTATATCAAATTAAATCCATTTAATTTGGTCTTGTTCAAAAGTTTAATAAAACAAGACTTTTCACAAATGAAAGGATCATATGAAGTACTTCATTATCAATGACAGTAATAGTCAATATAGTAGAGTCAATAAAATCTCAAATTAATCCAACCATAAATTTTAATAACAAGAAAGCCTTAACATATTTAAAATATCTATATGTTTAATTATATTAAACAATATTTTTTAAACTAATAAGCAAGCTCACCTATTTGGCATTTTCTTCATAACATTTTCAGATATGAAACCAGCATTATGACATCTCTCTACAAATCGATCTAACATAATATATGCAAGCGGTACATCTAGGCATATGTCAGCCATATCATCAAAAACTCGTTGAAATCCCTTAGTGAATTAAAAAAGAATGTCAATAATACTGATACTTATAAGATTACTGATGATTTTTAGTTAAGATAATATATAAATAAAATAATGATGAAAATGATATTCCAAATCGTATAATTATAATAAATATCTTACTCTTTCCATCATATGCGGAGTTATGATAACTGCTTGATCCAAAGCTTTGAGAAATGTGCAAATTTGTGCTTCAGTATTAGAATTAACTGCTTCAATAGCTATAACCACTGCCTAAAATAACAACAACATTTCAATATTAACTAATTTTAAATATGGATTAGTTGATGTATGATTATACCTCATAAACCAACTCATGATGAAAATGAGGAACTTCTAGTACTTGTAAACATCTAATTGCTTCTTGAATGTCACCCGAAGACAAAAATTCTTTAAGTAATAGATTCATCTGGCGGGTCAAGGATTTCACTGGTCTCAAACCACCACCAACCCCCCAAACATTATCAAGACGAACCATTCCATGTTTCATGGATAAAAGAGTATCTGCACGACTTAGTGCAGTGCTTTAATAAAACAATTCCCAATTTAAATATATGAATGAGCTTCCAGTGATTTTTATTTTTTTCCGCATTATAATGAATGAGTGTAGATACAAAATCTAAAACTATCAATACTACAAATTTCAATATTGCATTGCAACATAGGTAATAAATTGAGCAATTCTTACACTAAACCAAGCCAAAAAGATCAAGCTTTTTCAAAAGTGTCACAAGAAGAGTACCCTGTGAGATATGTGCATTATATTTTCTGCTATATATCTATTCTATTTGTCTTCGGTATATTTCTTATATCTAAATTCTCAAAATGTTCTCATCTTCAAAACATTCTGTATAATCAAAGTTTTGCACATGAAAATAATTCCAAAAATTTGACTGAAATTTTGGCTTTACATCCTTATTGTAAACAAATAAGATTACCATAGTGAATACACTCTAAGAGTTAAATTTATGTACCTGGCATGCTCATTAGCTGGATTTTCTCTGTGAGTCGTAATGAATTTTGGTGGAAGACAATCATCAGCTACAGCTCTTGCTATAAAATTACCAAGCAGTGTTGGAGCTTCTGGAGTGTCTAGTATCAAATCTGGCAAATTTTTCAGCAACTCCTCAAATGCTTTTTTCATAGATCAAAGTTTGATTATTGTTTTGAAGATTATAATATAAGCACAATTTTAATAACCATAAAACAAGCAAACTTCATTACCATAAGCAATGTCTTTTTCACTTATCACAACTCCATAAAGGTCTGAAATAAGAACAGAGGTCATCTCCCGATGAGAGGGTTTATGATCCATAGCTAGTTCTATAGCCAATTGGGTAATCTGGATACAAAGTGTAATTATAACATAAAAAAGTAGCCTGCCCTATGTGTTTAAATAAACATATATTCACAAACCAAATATCTTCTAGGTCCAAATATGAACTCCTCAAATGATTGCGCAGCTTCTTGGGTATCCCCATGTTCAAAATATTCAAGAATAACGGGTTCAGCCTTTTTCTGTTCAACATAGATAGAGAAATAAATACAAACATATCATTTATGAGAACGAGAGAAGCAAATTTTACCAAGAATTCTTCTGCAGAAACTTCAGGAATAACGGCCTTCAACTCTATATCTTTGTGACTTATACATTCAGTATCAAAGTTTGGATCATTGATATCTTCATACTCTTCTAAAAGCTCTGAGCCTGGTAATCCCCAGACTCCTTTACCCCCCGCGCCACCTTTTTTGGGCAGCCCTCTCCCATGACCATTTCTAGGTCTGCGGCTGTTTTTCCAAGAACGTTGTGGTAACACCGCTCCTTTTTTCATCGATCAACATTATTTTCATTCAAAATTGATTTCATTTTTCGAGCTAATAGCAAATACTTACCTGAGGCCACGTTTTCTCGACTATTTTGTCGTACAATTCTTTTAGCTTTACGTTTAACTCTTTCTTGGGCTAAACCTGCTGCGCCAGTGGCACTTGCAGGGGTTTCGTTCCCATCCGTGACCATAGAATCCCCACATGCATCTCCAGCAACATTTGGAACACTTCCAGATGCTTCGACGTTTTCAACATCCATTGTTAAAGACACGCAATATTATCATCAAATGTTATTTTATGTTCAACTTTCCTGCTTAAAACTTAACACAAATGTGCATTCGACAGTTATTACAATACATATATCCACCAATAAAAGGATTCGATTTGAAAGAAAACTATTGCGTACTCAATGTGCTCTCTGTATACAAACAACACCGACCGTACACATACGTGCAACAACCACCCCGCTTTCATGCCAATAAATTTTCGCCAACATTAGAAATTGAAAATTTCCAAGTGCGTATGAAGACAGAAGGAAAGGGACTATCCTGATCTTTCAAATTCAGGTAAAGCGTTTATGACAAACATATCAATAAAAAAAATATCTCTCTTTAATGAAAACTGTCAAGCAATTTAATTACATTGCATATTAAAATATCTTTCATATATACAAGCTGTTCAAAGTTTATCAATAACGCATTAAGTGACAAAATATTCAACTAATTTCAAGGTTATATCGTTAGTGAATATCTAAATTCTATGGCATAACGTCATTGAATATGGCCATTCAATCTAATAAAAATATTAGACTATATGATTATTATTTGTCTAGCAAACGGTTTTTGGTGGGGCGTTACTAATATATAAAATAATAACTTTATTTTTCAGTTAATATTGATCAAAATATTTTTAATCTATCACGAAAGTACCTATCAGAATTCTGACAGTGGCATGATCATGGTGTGAATTTGCCTGTTAGAAAAAAAATTCTAGACGTTTATAAACCCTTTTTTCTTTTATCTCCTAATGTTGTTCTTTCTATGAAATCATTTTATATACTATAGGAATGGTTACATCACATCTTTACCGATATATACCACTATATTGGGTAGTAGGAAATGAATGCTCAGCACTGCTGCAAAGCTTTGTCTGTTGATTCCATAGCAGTCTGTTTTAATAAAGCATTTACTTTCTTGTGGTATTGATTTAATTGCAGATGTAAATACTGAAATTCATTAGTGACTCAAATTTGCGTGAAATAAAAAATAAGAAGCTTTATGTTAAAGATACAACGGTAATATATTAAATATTCAAACACCATCTCCATAACAGAAATTTAATATTTATTTTTAACATGTGAGATATAATATATATATAAATATATATTAATGTTAAATACAATTTAATTTATCATATATTTACATAGAATTTGCTTTATCACATTTGTCACAAAAATAAAATTCAATTAATATTTTTAATAAATTGATTAATAAAAGGAGTATTGTATATAATGATTAGGCAAAATAATTAAAATCTTCTAGAAACTCATTAACATTGTTATATGAAAGAAGAGAATCCTTTATCAGCTGAAGTTCAACTTGATTTATTTTATGTGCCTGCAAAAAATTATCGTTGAAAAATAAAATACAAATATAAATGGTTCCATTAGAATTTCATATTGCATTACAAACTCACCTTTAATTTCGTTTGTGTGTACCGAGCACCTTTTATCATTTTATCACATAAGTAATGCAGCCATAGTATATTAGAATACGGCTGGTAAGCTACCCAATTATTACTGAAAATATCAATAATTATTAATATTAAATATAAGATAATTTAAATTGTATTAAAAAATAATTATTACCAATTTTTTTCACGCATAAGCCTATAAATGTCAAACTGGTAATCACCGTCTGCAGAAAATAGTTCTTCATCAGCTCCGAGATCACTGTATAAGGCTTGATCATTGAATGTTATACGTGAAAAGGTAAAATCAATTATTGTTGCTTTCACTCCATGCAAAGGCAATGTAATAGTGAGTCCATCCAACTTATATGTAGCAGTCTAAAATAATAGTATATATATATATATATATATATATATATATATATATATATATATATTCAATAGGTAAGTCCTGGATTTTTTCAATATATTGATTGTTTTTTTTTTTTCGAATAGTAAATCCAATAATAAAAAACAATTTGTTTTTTGAAGATGTTTAATAACGACGTTTTGAAACTAGATACGTTCCATCATCAGGTTTATTCTGTCAAAGACAATGTTTTTTAAAACTATTGATTCATACATATGCATATATCCATATATTCATGTACATACAATTATATACATGAACATATACCCAAGTACATGTATATAGTGTATATACAAAAACATACATATAAGCACATATATGGATGTGTATATATTACTACTTATATACATGTATATATACACACAAAATTATTAAAGGATTAATCGTTTTTAATTAGGTTTAAAAAAATTTAGATATGAATCATGAATGATATTATGACTGATCTTTTATTAACACAATTTGACGAATTCAAAAAGATTAAACTGCTTTCAGAAAAAAGTCTTTTAAAAGTCTCTCTATATAAAATATTGGGTTCAAAGGTAAAAATATGTGAATTTTCAATGAAATGTTGGACAAGAGTGCTTTGGAAACTTCGGCTTTTATGATGAATGACGCTTAATTCATGTTGTCTCATTCTCTTATGGATGTATTGTGATGTTTGGCCAATGTATTGTTTTTGACAATTTTTGCAAAAGATTGAATAAACTCTATTAGTATTGAATTTTGGAGGGTATAACATTTGTATAACATAATATTTTGATTATAGTACTTATAGAAATTACCTTTTCAGATGTTGTTACAACAAGAACATTTCCCCAGTGCAAGTCTCTATGTTCAAAATCTAATGCTTTTTCAGCTATGGCTAATGACAATGCAACCTAAAAAAATTACTAATAAAGTATATATATATATATATATATATATATATATATATATATATATTGAAAAAGAATATATGATCAGTTGGTGATATACATTTGTTGCTCTGAAAGAGTGGATATCTAGTCATGATAAAAACTACACGCACTATATATGCACTCTTCTAGAGAAACAAAAAAGTTATTTACATATTCCATAAAATGATTCAATTCACACAATATTCAAAAATGAGTTCATATCAAATAATATTTGTAACATATATAAAACATTACACATAAAATATTGTCTCATTCTCACTCACATTTTATTCAACATTTGACTAAACAGCAAAAATTTGTTCATTAACAAAAAAAAAAAAAAGACTAAATAAATGTGTTACTGTATATATAGACAAATTTAGTTTATATAAGTGCAATACACATATTTATAAAAAAAAACTGCTACAAACATAAAATTACCTGTCGTAAAACACTAAGACTTTGTTTTGCATGTGTAAATTGAAAAGCTTCCAAACTTCTACCACCATTTCCTAGCTCTAGCACAATATACAGTTGATCATCACCAAACATTTCAGGATTATCATTCTCAGAACAATACTGTTCATCATATAGATTCCATAAATCAATCAACACTTGAGGATATTTGCCTCTCACACAACTAATTTTTTTCAATTCTGAGAAACCAGAAGTCGCATTCTCCTCATTGCTACGCAAATTGCTCAATTCCCTGAACATAAAACACAAGTCAATATCTTTGTCAATAAATAGATAAATGTTATGAAAAAAATATGCTTACATAACAATAATAATTTCTGATAAAATTTCATTAAACTTCTTTTGCTTTTCTCCATTAACAAGTAATGAACCCTCTATGGGTATGATTTTTATCACAGAACATTCTTGCGTTATTATATCTTTATAAAGATATACCTCACCAAACAACCCTTCCCCGATCTTGTGACACTTACGGAGAGATCTACACAAAAATAAAAAATATTTTAAATAATCGAAATCGTGTTAATTAATAGTAGTAACTAATTTAGTACAATAATATACATACATGTCAGGATAGCATTCACTAAAAGGCAAAGGAGATGTCTGTCCACATCTTCTTAGAACTATTTCATAAGCAGTAGCAGGACTGGGATCAAATTGTACGATGCTATTAGAACAGGAAATAAAACTTGATAGCACTGATCGAGATTTGGCTCGAGATTCATGCACTTCATTTGGTGCTGAACTATAGTTGGTATCATCAGACGATATCGAAATATATGACAATTGTTTATCAACAATTGATATGTTTGTTATGTTATCATGAATATGACCTCTCTGATAATCTGTGAATTATATTTCACATCTATTAGACTTACAACACATTAGACAATGAATATAATTTTCATATACATATAGCATAAGTAGAATAAATTTATAAAGTAGTTGGAACAAATAGCACAAGAAATCACTTTACCAGTCTTCACCAAAAAGGTGGAATGTTGAATACAGAGACAAAAAGAGTGAGCTATTATGCAAAAAAAAATGTCACCTTTATATATATTTTTTTGAAAAGAATAGAATAAACTTGATATAATTACAAAACACAAAAGTAAGATTGAATTATTAAAAGACTATAAATAATTATTAATAACATTGAGATATTTAAAGGATATCATAACAATAAATGGCTAGAGACGCTATTTACGAAGAACTTGTGAAATTTAAATACTAAAATAATACATTTAAGAAGCATAATATATAGCAATAATGCATAACATATAATACGTCCTAAATTTATTATTTTATAGTATTTAAATTCTGAAACTCTAGCATCTTATACTTCAATATTTAAGTACATAATTGGTTTTATACAGCTATATAACATAAATACATATATATTTGTTTAATAATATATAATAAAGGATAATGTTATATATATTACCTTGACTTAAAAATCGTCGATACATACACTAAAATTGGAATTACTTTTTAAATAGAAATAGATTCACTACCGCAGAACACAAAGAAATCTTGACTTTGAAGGATGTGAAAACTATGAACGATATGAGTCACGGGCTCAATTCTGAGAATACAGATACGTCGTATTAAGATTGCGCTGTGATAAATGTTTGAATTTTTAAATTGGAATCACTGCTTAGTTACAAAAGCGCAATTACAAAATTTATAATCAAATCAAAACAAAAAATTTTCGGAACAATGAATTACTTAAAACACGTCACTTTACGACCTGCTTTGATTAGTCAAGTTTACACTCCGAGAACAGAGGTACGATTATTGAAGGTTGCCAACTTGAAATGATATCTAGACTACGTCAGGTCGTCACACTAGTAAGGCCATAGATAAAAGAACAGTGCTTGTTAAGGCTACAGACACACTACAACGAGCGAACTTTTCATCGGTATGGTTTCTTTTTCTTTGTAACGAATAACTGAATAATCGATAAAAATGATTTAATAAGCGAATAATTATAAAATCTGTTATTAATTTCTTTAACATGTTTAATTACTTCTATCATCGTTAATTTAATTAAAATGTTATGCTATCAATAAATATTTTCAAACTGATGTAAAAATTATTCTTCCTTAGAATTAACTGATGTTAAAATCAAATTCAATATACAAATTAGTTTTGTTAGATAAAAAATAATGATTGTGTAAGTCGTCTAACACCAAGTTAAAACTAGCGGTGTATGGCATCGTGCCTTAAGGCAAATTGCTGGAAATTCCCGCAGCGTAACGAAATGTCCGATGAATATTAAATTTTTTCCAATAGATTATTATAAATAATGCTACATTATCTAATATTTATTTATAAGAATTGTATAAACTGAATTACAGAATCAAAATTATTTGTTTAAAGTATGTAAGCGAGCTTTAGAACTTCAGTCAGAATTAAAATAAAAATTTGAATAATTTTCGATATACAAAAAAATTTTTTAAAGAAAATCGAAACAAATTTTTTTTCCCAAAAGCAGTTTTGTCAAAACAAGCAGAAGTTTTTTGAATCATTTAAATCGGATGCTTAGTTCTCTCAAAAAACTGCAATTTTTTATACATTTAGCTCTGTATCTTTGGAATGGCTGGACCCCTGCCTTCCTTTGCAAAAAACTAATCAACTCTTCTCTCAATCATTACAAATTGAATGTTCTTTGTATCATTCAAATCGGATACTCCGTTCTCTCAAAAACTCGATTTCTATTTTCTGCATTCTTTGCTTCGTATCTCCGTAACGGCTGGACCTGACTTCGCTAAAAACAGCACGTCTCCCTATCAATAGGTATCTAATGTTTTTTGAACCATTCAAATCGGTTGATCCGTGCGCCCGAAAACGTGAACAAAAAAAATGCTGACTCACAATCCATTTTTTCTGAGGTATGCCAAAATGTTTAGAAACCTCTGAAACTTGAACACACGCAATCATAATCATTTTCGATTTTCCCCATTTACCCATTACAATAACTTACCCTACAGTAAGTTAAAAATAACGATTTAACGATTTTCATTCTGCAGTTATTATCAAACAGTGAAAACAAAATCTTATAAAAGCAAACAAATAGACCAATTTATTTGTAAAAAGCAATCTCCCTGCGTAGCTGTTTTAAAGACAAAACATCAAAGCGCTTAAGCGCCGCCTCGCAGTCAAACGGATAAGCATTGTTATTGAACCCATAGAAATATAAACAAAATTTGTACTTATCTCTATAAAATATCTGATAATTTGTTGTGCATATGTCTAATAATCATTTTTGACCGCCAGATAGCATTTTTTTTTTAAATTTTTTATTGGATCTCCGAAACCGCTCAACCTGCCCCTACCCAAAAATATATTCAGTTCTTCGCTTCGTCAATACAAATAAAATGTTTTTTGATTCATTCATTCGGAAAATCATTCAAAACGGACGCTCCCTTCTTTCAAAAACTGAATTACCATTTTTGGACCTATTTGTACCATATCTTCGAAACGGCCTTTGCCAAAAACTAATCAGCACGTCTCCCTATTAATACGAATCAAATGTTTTTTGAATGATTTAAATCGGTTGATCCGTCTTCTTGAATTTGTCGACGAAAATATGTATCCGAAATCACTCACTCACACACACACACATACATCCATTTTTTGAAACGTAAAAATATATAAAAAATATAATTTTAGATTTTTTTGCGATCAATATAACTTACCCTACAGTAGGTTAAAAATTGGTTCACTTTTTCTAGATGCATAATCACAGTCAATAAAAGCAAATATGTTACTATTATTGTACCAAAAGGGATTAAATACTTGAAATTAGATGAAAATTATTTCAAATTCATAATTTGGGTGGGCAATTAAATGTTTTACATGAAATTTAAGAAAATTTAGGGCGAAAATGTATCATAAAATATAAATTGATGATACAGATTGGCAATTGAATTAACTAATATTGAATTTGTAGCTAACCCTCAGAGCAAAAAACAGAATTCACCTTAACTGTAATTCAATCGATAAATTTTTTTATGGAAATTTTATTTTAATCTACTTAAATTCTAATTCCAAACTCATTTCAATACATGTTTCAACGCACACGATTGAATGGAATACTGTGAGGTTGTATGCTTAACCACTAGCCACAAAACACTAATATACATTGATACCCTGCCAGTCTCGAACGTTCCACACAACGAACTTTGCTTCACACAACGTACTAAAATCATTGTCATTTGTAGTCAAAAAAACGTATGTTGGAAATAACTTGGAAATTTTTGCTCTGCTATGAAAATATACTTGTTGTACTATACTAAACTATCAGCAGTTTCTTTGAAAACTCGGATGATAAAAGGGCACAAACGGAAGCAGTATGACTCTAATAATAACTTGTTTCGTAAATCAGTAATATTCTTTAAAATCTCCTTAATTATATATAAAATATATCTTATTTTCTATGAACACATTTCGAACTACAAAACAAATAAATTTTACTTTCATGCATTTGTATGGAAAACGCGTTTCCCATAGCAAACTTTTCACACAGTAAACTTTTTTCCTGAATTAAGTACAAAATGTGGAGAATCAATGAATTTCTTTGAGAGTGTAACATCAAGTAAAAAATAATTGCAGTAAAAGAATTATAAAACATCTTTATTTTTCGATGTTAAATTCTACGTCATCATTCTACTATTTTAAAATAAACAGTAAAGATAAAAATAAAAACTAAATATGAACAAAAAAAAATATAACTAAATGAACTATATCAATATATATATATATATATATATATATATATATATATATTAGGGTGGTCCTTAAAATGGTCAATTTCGAATTTCCTTGCTCCCAGGGGCTCAAATGGTTCGAAATAGATGAAAAACAATTCTCTGAAAGTTTTAGCTCTTAATATTAACGTTCAGATAGAGCGCAATTCAATCAAAGTTTGTATGGGAAGAGCATGAAAAAAATTTTGAAAATTTAAAAAACATGTTTTAGGTATAACTTAGCGACAAATGAATGAGTTTTATTCATTCATTTGTTCGCTAAATTACATCTAAAAAACATTTTTAAAATTTTTGAAAAATTCTCCATGCTATTTCCATACAAAACTTTAATTGAATTGTGCTCTATCTAAACGTTAATATTGAGAGCTAAAACTTTCAGAGAATTGTTTTTTATCTATTTGGAACTATTTGAGCCCCTGGGAACAAGGAAATTCGAAAATGACCATTTTAAGGACCACCCTAATATATATATATATATAAATCTTGAAATAAAAAATTACAGAGAACAACGCTTATTGACCTTCTCAGACTAGCACTAATACATAGTAAAGAGAGTTAACTTGTAAGTATTATGTTCTACTTGATGTTACACCCATATATATATATATATATATATATATATATATATATATATATATTTCAAGAAAGATAATTAAAATGTTAATTGCACTTACCTATACTTGTAGAATTTGTTAAATTCAATGAATTATTCTCATCTATTATTGATGGTATATTAAGCCCAGACTGTAAGCTTTTATTATGTATGTATACATTTAAAGAACGACGCCACTTCTTCCCAGGTAAAAGATTTATTGACAAGGGCTTATCTGGCCGTCTGCAAGGCTTATAATTTTCAAATTTTTTATATTTGCAAGCTATGTTTGTGTCCTGTTGTTGGTCACCACATTTATTTTCATTGTTTGTAACATGCGCAGATTCACTAAGATTCAAAGTACATCCAATATGAGATAATGAAGAAATATTATCTGATGATCTTTTCATTGGAGTGCTCTTGGCGACAGGTTGAATACTATTTTCTCTGACTTTAGATATAACTTCATTATTATTGGTATTATATGTTTTATCTGGAGTGTCTTGATTTTGGATATAAATTTGTGGTATGGCTTTACAATTGAAACTCAACTGTTCTCCAGAATCAATACATACAATATCTTCTGAAGTGTGATCATTCAAAATATCTGTAATTTTTTGGTTAATATGTATATTCCTATTATTGTAGTAAACATGACAAGAATTACATGACAAGAATTACATATATGAGATTATTATGTGCATTATGTGTGAAAAATATAGATTATATTATAGTATAGACTGAAGAGTCTATAAAGTATAATGGTGCATAAACCAACAAATTTCGTTAAATTGAGCAATTGGTTTCTAATTGACAGCATATAGATTTGAATTTGAAGTCTTTTCTAAGCGATTTTAAACAATTTTTTGTATGCCAAAATAATATCTATAAAACATTGAAGTAAATCATTACTTTAACATAAAGACACTAAAAAAAATTAAGCTATTTATTAATAAGTAACATTTAAGCAAACCTGAGTTGTGTTCAGCATCTTGACTTATTCCTGATTTATATAAACCGCAAAGAGATTTTTTTACAGTAGATTTTCGGTTTGGAGTTTCATTCGTTAGTTGTTCAGCATCTCGACTTATTTCTGATTTATATAAACCGCAAAGAGATTTTTTTACAGTAGATTTTCGGTTTGGAGTTTCATTCTTTACTTGTTCAGCATCTTGACTTATTCCTGATTTATATAAACCATGAAGAGATCTTTTTACAGTAGATTTTCGGTTTGGAGTTTCATTTTTTAAACATTCGTTTTCTGGCCTGAACATCAATAAACAAACTTATATAAATAAGAAAAATAACTCTTAGTTATTAATTACATGATTAGGTTTAAATCAATGCTATTTAGTTTCTAAATTATAATATTAATAAATTTTACCTCACCTCTCAGAAATTAACCTATCAAATGTATCGTTCCAGTCAACTCCGATAATATCAGGTGAGTATGTAGCATCACGTTCTCTGGTATCATCAAAAATATTAAAAGAATCTTTACTTTCGAAACTATCACATAAAATGCAATCACTTGAAAATGAATTGTTCATTTCTAATTTACTTTTTATAGCTTTTTTGAATGGCATTTTGCACAAATTTAGTTAACATAAATCGAAGTTTGATCTATGAATAAATGAATCATTTAACAGGTTGTGTTTAAATAACATTGAGCACATCGTCTTATAACTTTCAAATGAAGATTAATTCCAATGATTTCTGTTTTGTTTTGATCGTTCCGTTGAAAAGCGTATTTATGCATCAACGACAAAATTTAATAGCGAAGAACGTGACGTATTACAAACCATAGATACCATAGAAGAAATTTTCGAGATGTACTTAACATGAATTATATATGCTACACGGCATCGTTTTCCTCATCAGAGAGTGGCGGTTGTGGCCATAGATAGATAAACATGGCGGTTGTGGCAATCATCGAAATTTTGATTGCAATACAGAATGAAGACTAATTTTGCATTAATACATTTTTAAATTTTTTAAAAAAGTTTACATTTATCAAAACAATTGTAATTTGCAAGTAAACTTATTAATTCGTCGTTTTATATTTCATTTCTTAGGGGCCGTCAATTAATCATGTTAGGCTTAAAAGGGCGGGAAGGTTTTGACAAAAATCTCGAAATATCACAAGGTGAGGTAGTAAGATATTACCTGAATTCATTTGTTCCATATATTTAAAAAAATCTAATTTTTTTCAAAAAAAAATCTAGGTCCTAAAAATACACCCGATGTTGGGTAGCATAGAATTTTTTAAGTTTTTGATTTTTTTGATCATTTTTGAATCTTTTAGAAATATTTGAAATTTTTCGAAAAATTTGATAAAAACGAAAGTTTGATTTTATTTGTTTACACTTTAAAAACATAAATATTGGTACGGAACCCAAAGAAAAAAGAACAAAATCGTTACTTAATAATAAAATCTCTATAAAATGTGTGATAATTTGATGTGTGTATGTCTAATTCATTTTTTAACTTTTATTTCTGAATCTGCAAAAGCGCTGGACCTGCCTTCCTAAAAATTTAATCAATGTTTTATTCCGTCAATACAAGTGAAATGTTTTTTAAATCAATCAAATCTGACGCTCAGTTCTCTCTAATAAAAATTGTTTTTTTTTTTGAATAATTTAAAAGTGCTTTCGAAATTGTCGACAAAAATTTGCACATACGCGCACACGCCACACAAAACATCAATTTATTTAAGATATGCCAAAATGTTCAGAAGGGTTTGAAAATGAAATATATAAAAAAATTCATTTCCGATTTTTTTGCGATTTCTATAAATATGGTATAATATAGAAAGATAAAACTCATTTATTAATTATAATTAATAAGTAATTTTTAGAATTATTTATTTTGATTTAATACAAATATACCAAAAAGCTGATAATAAATATTTTGCAGCTTATATCAAAAGAAGAATTTATTTGATATATAACAAAGTTGAATAAAAATTAACATAAGATTGACAAATATTAAATATTTGTTATTAAATGAATTTGTTATCATCAAAATATACTACCATTAAAACTTGCAAATATTTTTTATGATTATAATTGTGAGTTCTCGTATTTATTCTTGGAGAGACAAAATGATTGCAATATTGCATTTAAATATGCAACCATCAATTGTGATATTTAGATAGTACGATAACGAATGTTTTTTATCTGAATAATAAAATATAAAATTTATAACACATCTGTATGCCGTAATCCAAAACCGGATTTGCTTTCAAGTTTGTTTGAAGAAAATAAGGAATTCAATCATTGCAATTTTGTATTTGAACATTTTAGATTGCACTATCCAAACGTCCTGAAATCCTATACTATAATGATTCAATATTACTGCTCTAACAAAGCAAAATAAAATAGCATATTCAATAATATAAAATTGATGAAAGTTATTAAAAATTAAGGGCAATAATTATGACCCTCGGTGGCAGAAAAGAAGCATCTACATTCTACACTGTTCACATAAGCCAATTCTGCAGTCTTGAATTTATTAGGAAAACTAGTTGATATTGGTATTTTGCCTTGAGGCAAGTTACATGAACTTCCCGATATGTGTAATTAATCGACTTAATCAATAAAAAATAAATTAATTTATTTTAAGTGATTAAAAGTATTCCAATTGAATTTATTAAACATAACATATTTGAAAACGAACACGTTAGCTCGGAGTATTTTCTAAAAGCAAATTTTCACAAATCAATAATTTTTACAATCGAACCAGTTTCCGTAGGACTTTAATGGTTTAGTATGTTCATTAAGACTACGTACTCTATCGTTATATCAAGTAAATCGTCTAATTTCAATTTTAACAAACGTCAAAAAAACTATTCATTTTCTCAAATTTTGATAAATTTCAAAAATTAAACTACTTGTCGTAAGGCCGTTATATTTCAGTAAGTTCTATAAGACCATGATATATATCGCCAAAAAAAGTTTCATAAAAATCGGCTCAAATTTTTGTTTTAACAACGAATTACAAGAAAACGGCTCGGTAGATTTTCACCTAAAACTAATCAGTATCATTCCCAACTAATATCTTTCGAACAGTTTTTGATTTTTTAAAATCGCTTTGGTAGTATGAGTTTAAATGTGGACGAAAAGTTTAACACTTTTTTTCAAATTTCAAAGAAACGGCTCGGCCGATTGTTGCACAAAACTGACAAGCGACAGTCCTCATTGAGACACATCGAATAGTTTTTAAATTTCTGAAATCATTTCAGGCGTTTTTGAGCAAACGTCGATGAAAATTCTAATTTTGACAAATGCCAAAAAAACAATACTAATTTTTGCAAATTTTGACGAATTTTTAAAGCTAAACGACTTACAAGAGAACGGCCCGGCCGATATTTACCAAAAACTCATCCGCACGATTCCCAACCAATATCTTTCGAACGGTTTTTGAATTTTCAAAATCGATTCAGAATTGCGAGCTAAAAAGTGGACGAAAAAACGTTTACTTTTCTGCTATTTACAATAAAACTTGGCTGATCGTCGCGCAAAATTGATGATCGCTAGTCCTCATCAAGATACGTCGAATGACTTTTAAATTTTTGAAATCGGTCCAGCCGTTTTTGAGTAAATGTCGATTTACGGCAAAAAATCTGTTCACACACACACACACATACATACTTTTTCCAAATTTGGTCTCATTCGATTCAGAATGGCTTGAAACGTTGAGAAAACATAAAATTAGCGAGTCGGATTTTTTGATAAAAACATAAACTTCTCCTTCGGGAAGTTAAAAATTTGAAAAAGAAAATAATTTGAATTATATTTACACTTAAATATTTATAGCTATATTTAAAAAATATTAATTAAATATTAGAAATATATTTGCATGTTGATAAACTTCTTATTGAATTTATTTATTACTAGAAAGACGAAAATATCTGAAAAGATTTGTTATACAATTCAAAACTACAGATTTGATTTATATAAAATTTATTGAATTTTTGTTTAGGTAGGAGATAATAAAAATATTATGTAAATGTAATTATTAAAAAACAATTCTTTGTTAACAGTTCAAATTTTATAATTTGATTTAACAAATTATATTTAAATTGTATGTCTTTTTTAGGTTAAAGCGCGAAATTTATTCACAGTTTTTATTCTGTTTACATGAATGTACATTATTTTTAACTCTTATATTAACATGTCTCGTTTACTTATTCAAACAGTAGATTTTCTCTAAAGTAGTTCACGAGAGAAACATTCTATAAAATAGATAATTGCTAGAGTGTAATATGATATTTTATAATTCGTGACTATTACTATAATAAATTATTTTTTTGTATATGTTACGAAATTGTAAATCAAGTTTTACATAGGGTTATAAAGTTAATGTTTTCCCTAACTGTAGAAACCACAGACACATTAATACACACATGCACACACATATATAGTTATATATATATATATATATATATATATATAAATTAATTTCATTTTATTTTTCAAATTATACATGTGGCTGCGCGTTTAATATGCATTGATGCGTTCACACAAATAATAATATTTAAGACTATTTAAACTTACTACAGATTTATAAAAAAATAAATTTAAATTATGTCGAATTCAGTTGCAATTAATGTTTACCTCTTAAATTTCTATATTTAATCCAATAATAAGAAGCAATTACTGATAAAATAGATAATAAGCTAAGTGCTAAGCCCGATATTACTGCAAATCCAATGAATGATACACATACGCTGTCGAATTTATCCTCATCCAAACCCAAATCTTGAGGAAGAATGACGCGCAGTCCTCGCGCTACTGTAATGGGTTCTGCAAATGTTTGATTACTGATATTACTATATAAATCACGACGTCTTCGTCCAGGTTCTGTTTTCTGTCCTGGTACTGGGCACATTTCACAGTCGGTTTTGCATAGTTCAACATTGCATTCCATGATCAAATCCATCATATCCGGAAATTTGAATGCACTGAAATACGCATAGGCAATTATTGACGCGCCTGTGTTTTGAGTTTGACGAGTTTTCTGGAAAGCTCCAAAAAGTTTCGGTTTTAAGACACATCCATTAGTATCGGTGAGCATGATAATATTCTGAGAATCAGAATCTCTGGCTCTGCAGTCCCGCACGCGAATGTCAAAGCCTGGATCGCCGGTGATTGATACTACCAGTGTCATTATTTCTCCAATTTTTACAAGACCATTTGCAGGACCGGCAAACGGACCACGACCTTGCTGTATTTCTAAGCTAGCCATGGCGGTATCTCCGCTGAATGTAACTATTTCCTGGTTCAGCATGCCCACGCTCAACGGAATGCTTAACGCTTTGTTAATATTACCTTCCCATAAACATCTCACGGAACGAATTGTATCCCATACTTCTTGAATACCTGGTTCATTTTGCAGAACTAACACGTTTTCCAAATAAGACTGACCTTGCGTATCAAAGCCATTTATAAATTCAGTACCACATGAGTTCAGACTGACTGTAAAGGAATACTTGGTTTGGCCGGAATTTGCTTGAACGTAACGGCATTCAGGATTATTAAAGAAACCCTTCGAATAAATAATTCCATCATATTGTCTATTGAATTCGACATTGATGGTCATCATATCTTTTGCGCATTCTACATCGAGAGCGTGGATATGAGGTGGATGGTTGTCATCTAGTGGTTGTGAAGGTTGCGCGGGTGAAGTTGGAAATGGTTCTAATGAGGATGGTGGGGAAGTAGGGAAGGGTCGAGTACCTGGAGGCTGGTATCCTGGTGAACTAATCGATGGAGTAGGCGAGGATGTGTAGGTAGGGAATGAAGGCTGGGCTGACGTATAAGTTGGAGATGATGGCTGTGGTGGTTGAGATGGCTGTGATGGTTGAGCTGGCTGAGATGGTTGAGATGGTTTAAAAGTAGTGTATGTTGGTGATGATGGTTGAGAAGAAGTGTAACTAGGTTGGGATGCTGTGTAACCAGGCTGCGGCTTATATGGAGGTAAAGCTGGTTGTGATGTTTGGGGCCTTTCGGGTTGATACGGCACTTGAGGCGTCGATAAAGCATCGGATGGTGGAATACTTGGAAAACCAGTTGATGGCCGGTAAGGAGGTTTTGTATCAAATGTAGGCACTGCTGAGGGCGTTGAACCTATTGGAAAACTAGGCTGGGGTGTTGAACCTGGATATGGATAACCCGTTGAAACGCTGGAGCTAAATGGTCCAGGTTGTCCAAATCCTAAATTATTTCCGCCATTGTAAACTACTCCAGTTGATATTGTTGGATTATAAGGTTTTTGAGTAGTTGGCATTTCAAATGGACGAGGTCTTTCTGGATTACTAGAGGGAGGAAGATAACCACGTACCAAACTCTGCTGGCGGGCTATAACAAATAAAAATAGAATCAATGACACAAATAAAATGAAATGTTTGCATAACTTATGAAAAATTCATAATTATAAAATTGAAAAAAACTGGTAAATAAATTTATTATGATATAAGATTCTGAAAGTAAACTATATAAAAGAACTGTGTATAAAAATATTAAAACTAAGAGTCAACGATTTGAATACATACTTTTTCTGGTGTTATGCTTATAAATGCTTTGTAGCCATTGTAGTATGTTCTGTACCATCTCATCAGCATCTGCTTGACGAATGTATCGATTTCCTGTATTAAACAGTTAACTAATTACTAATGGTATCTGAGTTTTACTGTATTTAACTATTAAAGAAATAGACATAGATATAATTAAAAAACAATAAAAGAAACGTTTTATCATTTTTTCTCAAAGTAGACATATTGTTCTAGCAAAATAATTTAATCCTAATTTGATTACACTGCAAATCAAAATATTGAACATAATTCATAGATAATACTAAAATTGAAATAGTACATATAAACCTTCAACAATTGAAAATGTACCGAGTTTACTGTTTTTGTATCCATTGTAATTGTACTCTTCTGATAGAACAGGCAACGCCAATCCAAACATTAAACTAAAGAATAGGAGCTTCATATCTGGAACAAAAATAATAATTATAAGGTCATTAATGCAATAAGATATTATCACAATCCATTACAAATATGCCATAACCCTCACATATATTGAACTATTTATATAATATGTAGTATTTTGTGTTTGGATTTCTTATTTGAAGCTTATGTAGTATATAGTGCATATTTGCAACAAACAACAATAACTTATCAGAGAATAGCATTTAATAGGCAATTAAACACATTTGAAATAAATTCAGATTTGTTTCTATAGTTAGAAAAAAACTCAATGGCAGTGTTCATTCCTTTAGAAATTAATTAAAAGAAGTTCTGTTCAAGATAGGATACCTTGACATGTAAAAAAATGCACATATATACATAAATATAATATAATAATATAAAACAATAATATTCGTGAAATTTGTAATAGTTATTATTATGTCTTTATGAGCTTTCTTTGTGAATAGTCGAGAGCAAAGCAGAAATCAAAAGATTTAAAACTTCAGGTAAAAGATTTTTTTAAAATAAATATATTATTAATAAGTATTATTACTAATGGGTCTTAAATGTCATTTTCGCTTGCGCGATGTATTTATGCAATTGTTACGGTTCATCAAATACATTTTGTCCGCGGTTTAAATCACTTACAAGTCATATTTCTTCATTTTGAATTATGAAAACTCGACCGCAAAGTTCAACTTATCGAACCACTGAAATGAAATATTTTAGTGGCACAAGCATAGAATATTATCTAACATCAATTATTGCAATATTTCTCTTAAATATATTTGAAATCTTAAGAAATATATTTGTGCTTTATGTGCAAGAAATTGCATTTGGTGATGCAACTTGTGGACATGTTTTCGGGGGTATTTAACTGACAGTGATAGTGTGTCTTGTTTTATATCAAAATACTTCTTGTTAAATATTGAAGAAGTATTTTATATGAAATGAAACCAAATGACGCGTCTTGAAATTGTTAATGCATATTACCAAACATCTTTATCCCTTATGGTTAAGTTTTGAAAAAACGATGTTGATAGCGCAAAACTTAGTTTACTTTAAAAAATTAAATTAATCTTATTATTATTTGAAATTAGTGGGGCATGGCATCGTGCCTTAAGGCAAATTGCTGGAATTTCCCGTACCAAAAATTTAAGTTTTTAAAAAAGACACCATAAATACATGAAGTATTTATGATTTCTGTTAAGGTAATTAATATTAATATGATCCACAGATGGATCAACAACAAATCGAGATTATACAAATTCGAGGTGCTCGAAAGCATGTGTTTGGGGTTATACAATTATTATATGAATTTTTTAATTGACATTAACCTATTGTTAAATTATTTATCAATAAGCAAAGAATCTTTACTAGTTGTTAACTTATTCTAATGTGCGTAATGATGACGTATGAATAGCAGAATATTAGACAGTTGCCTTTAGAATAGTCATGTACTTTCTACCAGCAGACCAGTATTTGATGATGAGCTGTGAAAGTGAAGTATTTAAAAAGGCTAATTATCATTTAATAATACGTCGACTGGGTTTATTTTGCATCTTCACTATTTGGATTATTATTATTAAAGTAATAGCTTCGAGTTATATATGGTTTTCTGCCTGTAAATAAATTGCATGATATATTAAATCTAGACGGCATAGTAAATAATTTGATGATTATAAATTCGAGTACTATCGATCTATTATTATGTTTATGTTTTTAAAAGTTTTTCTTTGCGGAACTCGTTTAAAATCCGTCGAAGTCGTAGGACAAAATTCGCATGGCGACAGAGCCAGTATTTTCTGATCGTAAATAATGAATCCTTACTAATTTACAAAATCACGAGTTTTTACAGCACACGTAATAATTAGTTTCTGAAATTTCAAAAATTACATACTGATACACACTATATATAAATATGTACTTTTATCTGTATAACAAAATAGGACTAACATGTGGTGGTTCCAATTTTGAATTATACTGCTTTTATATATGCAAAAGTTTTCATTTTATTTAATTATGGTCGATCTTGGAAACTACATTTGGGTTGTGGCTCTTAATGGTCATTGAACATTTAATTGAACTGTTTAATTGAACTATTAATTAGGGTGGTTCTTAATATGGATGGTTTCGAATTACCTTGCTCCCAGGGCCTCAAATGATTCCAAATAGATAAAAAAACCTCTGAAAGTTTTAGCCTTAATATTAACTTATGATAGTCCGGACTTCAAACAAAGTTTCTATGAAAATAACATGGGTATATAATATCTTAGCCATTTGTATATCTTAGCGACAAGTGAATCGAAATTTTGAGAGTAACATTGCATTTGTTTATTTTGATCATAAATAAAAAAAATACAACAAAAATTTGATATATTTCATAAAATAAGTATTTACTTAGGAAGATGAACCAAGAAACTTTGGTTGGAGTGCGGACTTTCTTAAGTTTATACTAAGAGCTAAAACTTTCAGAGAATTCTTTTTATCAATTTGTAATAATATATATATATATATATATATATGGCGGAATGAACACCATATGAAGTTGAAGGACGTCAATTGATGACAATGGCGGAATGAACACCATATGACAGATGTCAGTTGAATAACGTCAATTGATGATAAAACTAAATTATATTGGGCTACGTTGATTCGGATCTGGCATCAAGCAAGCTATAACGATCTGATTGTTTTTATACGATCGAATATTATGGTCGCGCTTTTTAAAACGATCGAAAATATTGTATCGAGTTTTTTGCCAACGAGCGTTTTCTCGTGATCGAAATTTAGATTTGATTTAATGTAATATCAACATCTTTATCAATTGAGACATTAATAAACAGTCATTATCGAGTTGAAATAAAATTATTGCGATTTCATTCAAGAATTAATTAATTAATAATATATGGCCCACCAGCGCCATAATTGGTGACCCCGACGTGATATGAACACGCAACCTTCTGATAGATATTCAAAATACTTTAAAGCCGCAAAGATGGCTAGTAGTTCGCGATCGTAAGTTGAATATCGCTGTTCAGTAGCTGTGAGCTTTCTGGAAAAGAAACCTATAGGGTGCCATGCACCATTTTCTTCCTGCTCCAGAGTTGCTCCAATGGTCTGGTTGAACGCTGGCATAGAACTCTGAAAGCAGCTTTAATGTGCTCTCCTGAGCCTTGGATCGAAGTATTACCTGTAGTCTTACTAGGTTTACGTTCTTCATACAAAGAAGACCTTAAAGCATCTCCTGCTGAGATGGTTTATGGAACCACATTAAGACTACCAGGCGAATTTTTCACAACTAAAGAACTGTCATCCGATCCACAAGCATTTCTGGACTACCACAGAAGAATAATGCGGGATATTAAACCTACAGCCACAGCTCATCATAATAAAGCCAATATGTTTGTGCTTAAGGACATAAATACATGCACTCATGTATTTGTAAGATCTGATCATATCAGAAAACCACTTGAGCCTCCATATAGTGGACCATATGGAATTATAGAAAGAATTTCAGACAAAGTGTTCAAAATTTCTATGGATGGTACTGATAAGAACATATCGGTTGACAGACTAAAACCAGCATACACAGTTAAAATAGATAACAGTCAACCAAGCTCATCTCAAGAATTTAAATCACATAACTTGGAGTTATCGATTGACCCTCCAAAAAAGATGAAGCCTAAAAAAGTCTCCTTCAAATTTTAATAATCAAATTCATTTATTTTTACCGGATACCTCTTTTTCTTTTGAAGGGGAGTTATATGGCGGAATGAACACCATATGAAGTTGAAGGACGTCAATTGATGACAATGGCGGAATGAACACCATATGACAGATGTCAGTTGAATAACGTCAATTGATGATAAAACTAAATTATATTGGGCTACGTTGATTCGGATCTGGCATCAAGCAAGCTATAACGATCTGATTGTTTTTATACGATCGAATATTATGGTCGCGCTTTTTAAAAAGATCGAAAATATTGTATCGAGTTTTTTGCCAACGAGCGTTTTCTCGTGATCGAAATTTAGATTTGATTTAATGTAATATCAACATCTTTATCAATTGAGACATTAATAAACAGTCATTATCGAGTTGAAATAAAATTATTGCGATTTCATTCAAGAATTAATTAATTAATAATATATGGCCCACCAGCGCCATATATATATATATATATATATGTAATGGGTAGTGCTGCTCTAGGGCAGGTCCGTGAGCTGAGTTAAACTCCAACTTGATTCAGGGAAGAATAGTGTGAGAGGTTTTCCATTGCTATTTCGCGCCACATTGTCCGAAAATAAAAAATCCTATTCCCCTGTTAAATAATCCTACTAAAATATTTTTAATATATATTTTCAAGTGAAAATGGACATCCCTGCAGCACGATGTCAGTTTGTCCAGAACGGGGTTCGAAGTTACGACCCCGTCCACACGAGTCCGTGCGTTATACCGTTACGACATATATATATATATATATATATATATATATATAATTTTATATGAGTGCAGTTAAAAGAAAAAGGTGGCAGAATGAATAATAACTACAAAATTTTCATCTCAATCGAAGTCTTACTCCACTAAAATCATGTCTATATATATGATGATAAGAATTAATAAACAACAAAATTTTCTTTTGTTAAAACTTTTATATAATTAATGAATTATTGATGAATTCATCAAAATCATCAATTTTACAATCGATTATAAAAAGTCTCCTTCAATTGATAAAAGATTTTAGAAAGTAATCTCGTAATTATAAATTTGTTAAAATCAAGCTGAAGCAATATGGTATCGACATTTAGTCTTTATATTTAATATTAATAAACCTATTGTGATTATTTAGGAAGTTATTAACTCTTGGCAACACTAATGCGTAAAACGTTGAACAAAACAACCTTTGCATATCATTGTTTCAACTTAATTGCATTTACTATGAAATTTATTATGAAAATAGTAAGTGCATAGAAATAATTAAATATCACGTACGTTATTAAAAATATATAATGCAATTTGTT